ATCAAAACTACCCAACATCTGCAATGCCACAGCATATTCAATTTAAATTTCCTAAACAGAAGACGGTCAAACAGAACTTAGAGCACCATTACCAAGGAGTGACAGAAAAGCTTTGCAAAAGAAGGGACAAAGAGTAACGAGAAACCAGAGCCATGAGAGAATTTTACAGGGGCTCAATAAACAAAAGTCAAATGGGTTCCCACCAAATTAGAGTTGGGCACATAGCTTAGGTTACGCCTAATGCAAAACAAGATGGCAGGTTACGAAAATAGTACAAAACTTAATCAGTACAGCGCTGCACAGGCAGAGAATAGATAACCAAGCAATTAACAGAATATATATAAAAAAATTAAAATAAATCCCCCCAGAAAGGCAATCAAAAAAGAAAAAAGGAAAAGAAGGTGAAGAAGAAAAACAGTATGTTTTTTTCTATTAAAGAAAAACAAAAGAAGGATAGAATTTCAACTTTTCATTTCCTTTCTGAAAAGCGGTATCTACCAAAGAAAAAGAGATAACTAAAGAAAAGCTACTTTCAACAATTCAATACATGAATCTCGTATCCAAAATAAAATAAATTAAAGAAGAAAATAATATACAACCTGCCTGAGATATGCCAAAAAGATCCATAAGAATCACAGTTAGAAACTAAGATCCACCATGAATACTCTTACACTATCGTTAAATAAGGGAACAAGAACTCATAATCCAAATTAGGAAAAGAAGAAAAACAATCATTGAATGTGGATTAGAGGTACTCACGCCATGGAGGTGGACTTGTAATGCAGTAAGAAATGTTGGGTAGCTGTTCTTTTGGTGGATGTGGCTGTGGCTCATCTACTTTTGGAGCTCCACCGCCTCCTCCTCCTCCACCTGCCATGATTCCTCTAGAGCTTGCTTTCTCTCACTAAAAAACACCAGAAACAACTATGAAACTCAAATCTAAGCAAAACCCAGATCCCAAATCTAGCAAAAACCCACTAAAATGAGCTGAAAGCAGGAAAAACAGTCAACAGTGTGATGACCGAAAAGATTGAACCACTCACATGTATACCCACTAAACTACCAAATAATAGAGATGGGAACTGTGCGAATAAGAAAAAAAAAACAGAAAATGATAGTGTAACTGGAAGCTTCACAAAACGAGCACAAATAATTGCACATATAAAAGCACCTTTTAACTAGCAGCTGAAGTAAAGCAAAAGCCAAATATGAAAGCAGGGGAAGCTCTCTCTAAAGTCAAAAATCCATATACCCCACACCCTGTTCACCCAAAATGGGTAGAGAGAGAGAGAGTCAGGCAAATCCAGGTGCTTAGTTGAACAAAATCAGAGTATGTAAACACAGTTAAGAGGCGGTACAAGAGGTGTGACTGTAAACATGATAAAATGGGAAGTGAGTGAGATATGATATACAAAAAAACTGTTCAGAGCAGCAAAAAAGTTTTCTGTATTCTTCACTTTCTCTCTCTACAAGGTGAAAGTCTCTCTCTCTCTCTCTCTCTCTCTCTCTGTGGGAGCTACACTGTACACGCTAACTACACATTCCCTTCTAACAAGAAAATACACCCTACCAAACCTTATTTATTGAGCTTAGTAGAAAACCATTTTATTTATTTATTTAATAAAGTTTATGTTTTTAGTTTTTCATTTTTGGAGGTTTCTCAGTTTGTTTATCTCAGTGTGGTTCAGCTGTGCAAAAAGCCAGAGGGAACCCCTTAAAGCTCCGTGGTTGAAAATTCAAATGATACTTGTCAAGCCATGAACGATCGGATACAGGTCGTCAGGAGAAAACGACACCGTTTGAGTTTGCGTTTAGTCAGATAAAGGTGGTTCCTTGACAACATCAATTCCCATTTACCAACATCCCCTAGATGGAAGCACCGATACTTGTTAATTTATTGAAAGACGTTAATACCCCTTATGAAAATATAAAAGTATAACATATTGCTTTCTTTAACAGATTGGCACGAAATGAGTCGTTGAGCTAACGAGCAAGAAAGTAATGGTGTGGCAATTTAAAGTTAATAAGTGTGAATGAAAATTGAAATGAAATATTGTGCACCTTGAATTGTTCATGGATAGGTTTTTTTTTTTATTGCAATTATTATAGAGTCCTTGTAAACTTACTAGTTTGTAATCCTCATTGAAAGGAAAAGCCAATTTTAGCAGAAAAGCAAACAAGTATAGTAGTAGGGGTAATTTGGGGATTTGAAAGAGAATGATCACATGGTGCCTTTACCAGATGAATCTTGGGGCGCCCAAAGCATGAGCCAATAGTGAAAGAAAGAAGAGCCGACAAAATTCTTCATCAGTCAAAATCGCCCTACCCCAATCCCTGCTTTTTCTGTCCCTTCCCTTCACTAAACAAACGCATTTCACTCTCAATACAATCCCAACTGGCTTCCTCTACCAATTTTCCTCCTCTTTTTCCATCTCTTTCCTTCCTTCCTTCTTTCTTTCTTTCTTGTTTTTCAAGCAAGCCCACCCACAGCTCCCAATTGGCACATAACCCTTTTTTTTCTTTTCCTGATTTTCTGTCTTTTGGGACAAGGTAGGTTAGGTAATCTCAAAAGTCCAAATCCTTTGCAGCCACAACTCTGGAGATGCTAAATCTGACTGATTCATCTTACATTAATTTGTCCAACTCATCAACTGTTGCAGTCATTCTCAAGTTTATATGTTGATTTTACTCTTATAATTTACATGGGTCACAATCGTAGAGCAGGTAGGAAAGCGAAACAAGGGCAATCAAAATAAGAATATTGTGATTGGATTTTCTGACCCTGTACTATATATATACTTATTCTCTCATCTAGACGTCTTCCTGTTATTATCGTTCATATACCATAGTAAATATGGAGAAAAACACAAAGGGATAACACAAAATATACAACGTCTGCACAATAATAATATCCAAACTATGTATATGTATTTATATATACCCCTGTGCAAATTCTAATTTCATACACTTCGTGACTGGTATTAAAAAAAAACATGCTTTTTGTATGTACATATTCGGACCACGTGTCATATATTTTTGTACCAGAAATGTTTTAGCTAATTGTGGGGGTAAAACAGATTACATAGAACAGAGATTGTAGAGAACGACAGAGGTCTATTTGAAAGTCAAATATATTTGATCCTCCTCGACCCTCAAAACTGTAATTGTTTTTGTTTGAATGTGCTAGTTTCTTTTTGGCACTATTCACTATATTATTCGTTACATGAAATGTGTTTTTGGGATGTAGCACATCATGTGGTGAATAAAGATAATGTGAGGCTTTGATTGTATTTACCAACGAAAAAGAAAAAAAGAAAAAATAAAACCCATAGACAGATTTCTGTGTGCATAGGTTTTTTTATTTTATTATTATTATTTATTTTAAATACATACGATATTCTACTTCCGTTTAATATTAACTACGAAGAGGGGAATTCAAACTCGGGTGCGTAGTGAGAAGCACATCCGCTCTAGGGCCTAGAGTCTAGACTCTAGCCAACTTGACTAAGCTAATGTCTGTTGTGTAGGTTTATTATGTATTCTACTATCGCTGAACAATGGCTAATATTGGTTTTCTATAAGTAAAGTTTTATAAATGTGGCAACCAAGCTATGGAAATAACAAATTCAAACTATAATCTCATTGAATATCTTATTCAAAGTATAAAAATTGGTCTCAAACTTTTAGTGGAAAAGATGGGGAGCCAAAGCCTTTTTGGGTAAAAAGATAAAGTCATTGTTTCATGTGGCATCATAATTGCGAAGATTAAGGACAGATTTGTGCTTAAACTAAATCCAAAGATTGAAAAAGAGAAGTAAAAATTACACCATGTTTTTAAAATTTTTGTCATCAATCATTGTATTACCCCAAATTTCCTGCGCCCACATGATAGCTTCAATTATGCCGTATCGAAAGATTAGTGGACATATTGATTGGTCCACGACTAAATTTGTCAAAATTATAAATAAATAAAAAGTTTTCATGAGAAAAAAGAAAAAATTAGAGGAGCTGGGTAAGTTTGTCTTTTTCTTTGTATGCTGTAAGGACATGTCAAAATCATATTGGTAAGAGCTTTTAAAAAAAAGGGTTCAAACCACCTAACCTTAATTGAAGATTAAGATTGAGAAAGTTGGGGACAATCTTGGCCTATGGTATTATAAAATGATGTAAATATGAGAAAGCATGAGGGTAATGATGAACATAACTGGATTGGGAGGGGTGAGAAAGAGAGAAGAGAAAAGGTGCATGGAGTAAAAAACAAGGGACAGAACGTGGGTGTTGCCATCAGAGTTCTTTAGGAGATACTCAGATCACCCAAAAACCCTAGCATCCATGCCGGGACCACATGCATGATGGCAAATTTATCTGCCCTTTTTAGACCTTTTGATTGTAAAGAGAGAGAGAGAATTGTTTGTTGCTTTTTCTCTCTCACTCACTCACTCACTTTCTTTTTGCCCTTTTCATTAGGGTTAGTGGTGACTCTATCTGTTTCAATTAGATTATAACCACAAGGAAGAAAAAGAAGCCAGTATATTCTTGTACCCATATTGTAACTTACATTATTGCTACGAGAATTGAATTGCGATTTATGACAGGTTTGACGGTTCTGTGCGTTCCGTACTAAGCTTTGATATAATTTGTGTGAGATTTACAGCATAACAGTATACTCCACTTATTTTTCACTTGAACCCGAGAGAATCTACCAAATAATCTTTGCTAAAAGAATTTTAGGCACTTCTTTTCATAAAATTCACACACCCAAAACTAAGGTACTAATAATTCAGTTACCCAAAACTTTGAACTAATAACTATACCCAAAAAACAAAATTAAAACTAATAATTGGAAAATATATTAGATGGGCTTTAGTTGTAGGCCATTTAGGCCTTTGCCCAATAGCTCAAGCTTGTTGGGCTCTTGTGACTTTCTATTGTCTTGTTTGGTTTTAGTTTCACACAATGGGCTGAGGAATATTCGGCACTCATATTAAACCCAATTGCCCGAATGCCCAAATGACGAGAAAGGCTGTGAAATTGCCACCCGCCTGTCTTCAAGCTTCATCCACCACGACCCAGTATCAGGAGCCCCCAAAACGCCGCAATCAACCTCCACACGTAAGCGGTTACTGGGTTTTCTTCATATTTCGTTTTGCCAAATGTCTATATTGCTTCACAGCAGCTTTTGACTGCTTGGATGTGTTTTTCTTTCATACTTCAGTCATTTCTGAAAATGGCAACCTTTGTGTTTGTGAAAATGCCCAAATGAAAGATACCCAAATGAGTTTTTTTGGTGGGGGGTTAGCGATGAATGTGCTGCTCCTTGTGGTCCAACTATGAATTTTTGCTTTCTGTTTTCTGATCCCCTTCCCTTGTTATGCAGCAATCTAAACACAATGTTGATGGTGTCAAGGTATTTTAGGAGAACACTCTTTTCTGCAGCTAAATCAGAAACTTCTGCTGCTGCTGCTTCAGCTAGGACGACGGGACATAACCCTCTTGAGGAGTTCTTTGAGGCAGATAGAAGCCAAGATGAAGAAAAGCCAGTTGTCTACGGTACATACCGTTCATTTCCGTTGTTTCTGGTTGTCCATTACCCATATGAATTTGTGTATTTGATTACATTGTCAACTATCATATTTATGTTGAAAGAAGCTGACTTTACTATGAAATCTTTCTAGAACTGCAAATACGACAATTTGGATATGGAATTCCAGTTACATGCTGATTACAATGTGCCAAAATATTTTTATTTATAACTGGAGAGAGTTTAGAAAGATTTGAGTTACGGAAAAATGTTGTGCTCCCATTATGATTTAATGTTATTACACTCAACATTGCAAGAGATTTTAGAATCAATCATGGAGGTCAATGGGCAAGTGTCCCAGCTGCTTCTTTTAATTGTTTCATTGCTTACTAGTTCTGTACTGAAACCCAAGCACAAATATATTCCTTATTACTCGGTATACGTTGCACTCCATGTTAAGTTTTTAAAGTGGTTTTTTTATTAGCCTCTTCTTAACCACTATCCTTCCGTATTGTTTAAACCATTCTGGGAAAAAGTTACATAATCTCAATCTTATTTTGATATTCTGATGCCATGTCCTTCAATGCATTACTCTTTGTCTGATGCAATCTGTATTGATTCAGTGATGGATCCTATTTAAAATACTTCTTTTGCTGTCAGGTCGAAGTTGGAAAGCATCTGAACTGCGTCTGAAGTCTTGGGATGATCTCAACAAGCTATGGTTTGTTCTGCTTAAGGAGAAAAACATGCTGATGACTCAACGCCAGATGCTTCAGGCCCAGAATCTACGGTTTCCTAATCCTGAGCGCCTTCCCAAAGTATGACCCTTTCTTTTAACCATTTTTTGTATTAGTCTGACGAACAAATGCCCGGGAAGTTTTTAAAAAATGTTTGTTTGCATGAAAACTGGTTACCTTTCCGTGTTATCAACTCCTAATTCTGACTTTCTTAATATTTTTCTGTCTACTTGCTCAGTCTGTTGTGTGATATCCATATATTTTGCTTGCACTTTATATGGAAGTTTGAGACTCTAAGTAAGTCAATAAGCTATGCTTGTGCTAGAACTATGTTGCAGCAAACTATTTCTTAACATTAGATTCTCTGCTTTTTGAGTATTAGAGTTTATGTATAATTCTATGTTCGGATGAGGCCACTTAAATTTTGGTGTGAAATACTATGAGTTGAACTGCTGGACAAGCAAAAGTTCTTTTTCGATTATGTTTAAATTGGCTGCTTCAGAGTGGTTCCAAAAAAGAACTGTTCGAACTTTACTTTGTTGTTGTGGTCAAGTTTTGTGTCTTCTACTTGGATATACTGTTGCCATCCTGATTTCTTTTTGTTAATGTCATCATGAAATTCAGGTGAGGAAGTCAATGTGCCGTATCAAGCATGTTCTGACTGAGAGAGCAATTGAAGAACCTGATCCCAGGAGGTGTGCTGAGATGAAGAAAATGATAAATGCTTTGTGATAACTTAAATATTCTCCATCTCCAGAAGCACTGTTATGTTTGTGCACAGCCGATGCTGCCCTTTTTCTCCTTGTAGGACTAGAAACTCGTAGTGATTTAATATTTTTACGGATTAGCGGACAACTCGTAATCTTTTCTTAGAATCTATGATGGTTGTCTTTGTGTTCTGATGTAGTCTTATGGTGACTTTGTTAGCAAATAATTGAATACTATTTGTTCCAGTGGCTTTCTGGCTCGAGTTTCTTCAATGTCTCTTGCATATACAACAGTTTAATTTCATGGATCCCATGTGTAATTTTCAGGGGCCAACAAATATAGGAGAATACTTGTTGCCTATTTCTGCTTTCTCCATACCCCAAGAGTGCAGGCCCAACATTGTCCTTCATACAGTGGCCAGGCAAACAAACTAAAATTGAGACTTAGACGACCCCAACGTTGTTGAATTGCTTTATATTAATGAAATATCGGTTTGAAAACCAACAATGATGGTGATTGCCTACTCTCTCATTATTTTCTTCAATTTTATATCGGTTTCTTATTTTTATTCCTATATTCATTCTCTTTGCCAACCTACAATTTGAAAATTGAAGTTGAGACTTACATGACAACAAGAAGATGATCACTCAGAGGCAAATGTTAGAATGTGTATTAATTTCTTATGCAAGACTAATTCTCCGTGAGATTTACAATCTTTACACGCTCCCACATATATGACGTTAATTAAACATAACACGTGTTATGTGAACAACATATACCGAATAATATATCACTATTAAACAACTCGCTCAAATACCATGTTAAAACAATTCCATTGTCAACAAAAGTTCAAAGTTGAAAACAGAACCTCTTAACAAGTTATTTATGTAGCAAAAGAGGAATACAAAATGAAAATCACATTAATATATTTTATCAATGAAAACCTAAAAAGGCAGATGGGAACAAACAAAGACCACATGATTTTTATAGACAGAGAGCAGAGTGAGCAGGGAGGGGCAGGGGGGCAGTGGGTGATGCTTACTTAAGCAAGAAGCTCAGGAAAAATCAATCAATTCAATATATTTTCCTGGCAGAGAGACAGAAACATTTACATCACCCCTTCTCTCCTCTCCTTCTTTTCCCCTTACTTTTAGTAATGTGTGTTGGAACAACACAAGACAACCTTAACTTCTCCATCATAGGCCCTCATGTGAAGTGAATGCTGCTGCTGTTACCCCAAAATTACATTTATACCCTTCCGTGACAGCTTGACTGGCCCCATCCAAGCCATCATCATCTTCTGCCCTCTTCAGTCAGAAGAATCCTCCCTCACTTCCCAAACTGCCCCCCTACCTCCTTTGAATAAAATACCCAAAAAAGAAAAAGAAAAAGAAAAAGAAAAAAAAAAACAAACACAAGTTTTTCACTTTTGAGTCACAGAGTAATCAATACTCTCAGGCAGACTGGTGCCCTAGAAATCTCAGAAAATTCAAAGTCAAATGAGAGCACATTTGGGTCAACACAATCTCAGCCAACAGTTCCAGAGCTGCAGTGAAATCTAGTCCAGTCACATACTCTAACTCTATAATATTGGGGGCACATTGTTTCTGTCACCTCACCCGTGGGTGAGGTTATAATTCTCCTGCCCGGACTGCCCAATCTGCCCGCCTGCCCGACCCTGCAGCTTGCTCTCTACCAAGTACCAAGTACACCTTTCCTTTTGCCGTCTGGTTCTTTCTCTTCGATTTTCTCTCTCTAACTTCTCTCTCTTTAGATCGATAGATCGAAAGGCGGCTCGAAATCTGGACTTGTCGTTGGATCTGAGTTTCAATTAGATCGATCGCTCGGTGTGTAGAATCATCAAATTGTCGGAAATCGATTTGAAATTTAGAATTTCGTTGTATTTATACTCGTCTGGGGGAAATTAGGGTTTCGTTTTAGCGGAGATGGTCGATCCAGGGTTTCGCAGAGGGCGAATTGGTGAAGAAGTTTGAAAAAGGAGGGGTTTTGAAGGGAATTAAGGGGTGATATTGATGGTACTTGTTGGAATTGAAGGTGGGATCGAGACTGGGAGTGGGGAAAATGCAAGGCTATGCATGGGAGGGGAGGTGAGGAGAGGAAACGGGGTCGGCACATGTTGACAGTCCCCACGCGTGTATCCGTGGCCGATGGTTCTTCCTCATCATCTTCGTCTTCGCCCAATTCGTTTTTCAAGGTTTGGATTTTTTGGTGTTTTCTATATCTTGTGATTTTGGGTCTCTGTTCGATTTGTTACGTGTTTTTGCGGATAATGGTTTGTGGGACTTGTGATTTTTGTGTGATATGGGGTGTGTATCAGTGGAGAAGTGAAGTGGGGTTCCGTGAATTGCTTGGTATTTTGCTTGTTTTGATATACAAAAAACATATATGGATTTGATATTGTGTAAAGATGAGAGTGTTTTTGACTTGGATAGATAGCTGAGAGAACCAGCCTGTTAGATATGAAAATTAGCAAATGCAACCAGTCTGTGAAATTAGAGAGAGGATCGTACAAGGTGCAAAGTTGGAATTCATTTCCTATTTGTGGTTGTCAATGATCTCTATCCTGAGGAGGGGGTGTTCAGTATGCTGAGTGGGAATTATGGTGGTTTTTGGGAAGAATGTCAATTTGGTGCCAATTTGAAGTGTTACCTTTTGTGGGTTCAATTAAATCCCTGCTTCATATGACGGGAGTTTTTATGCAGTTGTTGAGCTATTGATTTTTATTGTGATGGATATTTTGTTGAAAACTCTCCCCCCCGCCCCCTTTCCTCTGTATGTATGTGTTTTGTAGATCAGCTAATCAGGTAGCCTTTTGAATTATCTGTTTTAATATATATATATATACACACATTCAGATCACTATGGCAAGTAATAGGTTCAATGAAATTATGTGGTCAATAGTTTTGCTTCCTTTATTATTTTTAAGTGAAGAACACTTCATGATTGTCTGGCCTTTGAATTTTGCCACAATAGTGCTTTATTTATTTTCCCTGTTCTCAGCTTAATGGCTTTTGTCTAGAAGGAACATCAAGGCATCCCATTTTCTGATATTACGGTAGTTCTGTTTTCTTTCTTTAATTTCGCATTTGAAAGTTGAGGAAAGTACGTATCCTAGAGATTAATTGTGAAAATGCTCCCTCATGTGGGCGGAGCAAGAATGGAAGTGATGCCTGGGGGTAGTGTTATGCCTGCCTGCAGAAGATTTTGTGGGCAGTGTAAATTTGACTCTAGTAAAAAATTTGGACTTAGTTTTCAATTAAATGAACTCTAGAAAGTATGTTTCTCCTTTTTATAGGTTGAGTAAAGGAAAGGGAATCTGTGTCTTCCCTTAAGATTTTGGGGTCAGTGCTTGCATTTGTCCTAGATCAGCCTAGGTTCTTGCTAAGATATTAGAATTTTGAAAGTTTTGAGTGGTATGATGAGACTGGCTGCTCATTTGGTATGATGAAAGTGTTAAGTGTATACTGTTACTGGTTGTTATATGTTTCTGAACGTCCTTTGTCATGTATATTGATTATTGAAGATGTTCTGCATTTTGTCTGCGTGTGTTTGCTCAGTCAGACCAGCATAATGGTCCTCTAAACTAATCTATTTTTGTAGGACGGACGCAAGATCAGTGTTGGCGATTGTGCACTTTTCAAACCCCCCCAGGATTCCCCACCTTTCATTGGAATAATTCGTTGGCTGACTATAAGCAGAGAGAACAAGTTAAAATTGGGTGTAAATTGGCTTTATCGACCTTCTGAAATAAAGCTTGGCAAAGGCGTCCTGTTGGATGCTGCGCTGAATGAAATTTTTTATTCCTTCCATAAGGATGAGATTCCTGCCGCATCGTTACTTCATCCGTGTAAAGTTGCATTCCTTGCTAAAGGTGTTGAACTTCCCTCAGGGATTTCATCTTTTGTGTGCCGGCGTGTTTACGACATCACAAATAAGTGTTTATGGTGGCTAACTGATCAGGACTATATGAATGTGAGTTTTAGATCCTTTCTGCATCTTTGTGTTGTGCTGGTATTTCTAAACATTCAGAGTAGTTGATATCTTTTCTTTTGACAGGAACGACAAGAGGAAGTAGATCAATTGTTGTACAAAACGCGAGTAGAAATGCATGCAACTGTGCAGTCTGGTGGTCGATCTCCCAAACCAATGAATGGTCCAACATCAGCATCACAGTTAAAAGTCGGGTCAGATGGTGTTCAGAATAGTGCCTCATCCTTTTCTTCTCAAGTTAAAGGGAAAAAAAGGGAGCGGGGGGACCAGGGCTCTGAGCCTGTCAAACGAGAACGTACTACGAAAATGGAGGATGGAGATTCTGTTCACAGTAGACAGGAAAGCATTTTAAAATCTGAAATTGCTAAAATAACAGACAAAGGAGGGCTTGTAGATTCTGAAGGGGTTGAGAAATTGTTGCAGCTCATGTTGCCTGATAGAAATGAGAAAAAAATAGACTTGGCTGGCCGGTCAATGCTTGCTAGTGTTGTAGCAGCCACAGATAAATTTGATTGCCTTAGTCAATTTGTGCAGCTCAAGGGTGTGCCAGTATATGATGAATGGCTCCAAGAGGTCCATAAAGGGAAGATAGGTGATGGCAGCGGAGCCAAAGATAGCGACAAATCTGTTGAGGAGTTTCTCTTGGTTTTACTTCGGGCACTGGATAAGCTGCCTGTTAATCTCAATGCTCTGCAAATGTGTAACATTGGAAAGTCTGTAAATCACTTACGGTCGCATAAGAACTTGGAAATTCAGAAGAAAGCAAGAAGCTTAGTTGATACATGGAAGAAACGCGTTGAAGCTGAAATGGATGCAAAGTCTAATGTAAATCCGTCTGTCTCCTGGTCTGCAAGACCACGCCTCTCTGAAGCTTCTAATGGTGTGAACAGGCATTCAGGCGGATCCACTGATGTTGCTGTGAAGAGCTCAGTCACACAGCTTTCTGTATCCAAATCTGCTTCAGTTAAGCTTGTCCAAGGAGATAGTGTTACCAAATCTGCTTCTGCATCTCCGGGATCTAAATCGGTTCCATCACCAGTGTCAGCAAGTTCTAACCTAAAAGATGGACAGTCCCGAATTGTTGCTGTTGGTGTCACAGTTGATCTTCCATTGACAATTCCAAGGGATGAGAAAAGTAGCAGTTCTAGTCAATCTCACAACAACAGTCAATCGTGTTCGAATGATCATGCTAGAACTGGAGGTGTGTCTGGGAAAGAGGATGCGAGGAGCTCCACTGCTGGTTCAATGAATGTGAATAAGATATCAGGTGGCTCTTCACGCCCTCGGAAATCAATAAATGGCTTCCCAGGCTCTGCCCTTTCTGGAGTTCAAAGAGAAACTGTGTCAAGCAGAAGTTCATCCTTGCACAAGAGTCCAGCTCCAGAAAAATCATCACAACCTGGATTGGCAAGTGAAAAGGTACTTGATGGGTCTGCTGCTGAGGGGAATAGCCACAAACTGATTGTAAAGATTCCAAACCGTGGGCGCAGTCCTGCACAAAGTGGCAGTGGAGGTTCATTTGAAGATCCTTCAAATATGAATAGCAGAGCTTCGTCTCCCATGCAATTGGAGAAGCATGATCAGTTAGATCGCAGCGTAAAGGAAAAGGCTGATGTTTATCGAGCTACTGTTACCTCGGATGTGAACAACGAGTCATGGCAAAGTAATGATTTTAAAGATGTACTGACTGGATCCGATGAGGGCGATGGGTCCCCCGCTGCTGTTACTGCTGAAGAGGACTGTAGGGCTGGTGACAACTCTAAGAAAATTGCAGAAGTCCCGAAAGCTGCTTCCTCATCATCTGGGAACGAAAAATCGGGTAACTTGCAGGAGGCTTCTTTCAGCTCTATGCATGCATTGATTGAAAGCTGTGTGAAGTATTCTGAAGGTAATGCCTCAGTTGGAGATGATCTTGGTATGAATCTGCTTGCTAGCGTGGCTGCCGGAGAGATGTCTAAATCTGAGTCCCCAACTGATTCTCCACAAAGGAGCACCCCAGTATCTGAGCATCTCTGCGAAGGCAATGATTCCAGAGTCAAATCACCTCCTGTTGATGAGCTTGCTCGAGACGAAAGTCTGTCTAATGATGGTGCTGATGACGAATATCAAAAGCATGGTTTTGAATCCACCACTTCTGGGGCTAAGAATGGGGTTGTTAAATCTTCTTCTGTGCGTGAACAGAATTCTGTAGCAGAGGACACTAGAAATCTTTACTATTCCAGTGTAAGCATCCAGCATTCTGCAGGTCTCTCCCCAGAAAACAAAGAAAAATCAAGTGAAGTTAGCTTAGCTCCGTCTGGGACTGCTTCCCTTCCTAGTACGGTTGAGAAAACTATGGAGGGTGATGGTAAACCACTTCAAGACAAAAAGATAATTGGTGGAGTGAGTGCTGATGGCATTCCAGATATTAAACACGGTGTAAGTGGTCTTTTGTCAAATGGAAATAAGGTTAGTGATGTTAGTTCAAGGGTAGCAGTGGGGAAGGAAGCCATTGAAGAATCATCCTTACACGCAGAGTTAGATGTTGATGGTAACATAAAAAATTTACATTATGAAGGAATGGACAGCAGTGTACAGGCGGAGGAGAAACCATCTACTTTAAAGAGACATTCTGAGTTGGTAAAAGGAACCTGTGAAGATGTGCTGCTTTCTTCTGGTTTTAGAAAAGATTTGATCTCAGGAAAAGCCAGTGAACTGAAGGCTGAAAAAGCTGATGAAACGGATGACCGTGGTCATCATAATCAGGTTGAAAATCAAAGAACTGATCCAGAAAGTAATGACCCCAGCCCTTCAAAAAAAGAAAGTAATGATCTTTCAATTCCTGAGAATCGAGCTGTAGGTGGCTCTAGTTCTGCTGTTACTGATCACGACGATGAGCATGTGGAGGAGAATTTGGAAAGTAAAGAAGGTAATGATCAACTTGGTGAACCTGTTCTTTCAAAGGTGCCATCTGATCTTCCAATGCAAGAAGTAGAAGAACATTTGAGGTCCAGGAGGTGTAAGTTGACCAGCATGGAAGCAGAAGAAGCTGACGAATGTACATCTACAACTGCAGATGCTTCTTCTGTGTCTGCTGCAGGGGTAGCAGAGGCAGATGCAAAAGTGGAGTTTGATTTGAATGAAGGATTTAATGCCGATGATGGGAAATATGGAGAGCCAAGTAACCTGACAGCACCTGGATGTTCAACTGCTCTTCAGTTGATTAGCCCGTTACCTTTTGCTGTTTCTTCCGTGTCTAGTGGCCTTCCTGCTTCAGTTACAGTGCCTGCTGCAGCAAAAGGGCCCTGTATCCCGCCAGAGGACCTGTTGAAGAGTAAAGGGGAGGTTGGTTGGAAGGGATCAGCAGCAACGAGTGCATTCCGGCCAGCTGAACCCAGAAAAGCTCTAGAGATGTTGCTGGGTACTAGTATTTCAGTTCTTGAGCCTACAGCTGGCAAGCAAGGACGCCCTGCTTTGGACATTGACTTGAATGTACCTGATGAAAGAATTCTTGAGGATATGGCTCCTCAAGGTTCTGCCCAAGAGATTTGTTCTCGTTCTGACCCAACAAATAATAATGATTTGGCGCGTGATCAATCAATGAGTATTGCACCTGTTCGCTGCTCAGGGGGCCTTGATCTTGATTTGAACCAAATTGATGAGGCTTCTGAAATGGGTAATTACTCATTGAGCAATAGTTGCCAAATGGATAACCCGCTCCTGTCAGTAAAATCAACTGGACCTCTCGATGGAGAAGTTAGTCTTCGTAGGGACTTTGATTTGAATGACGGACCTGTTGTCGAGGAGTTGAGTGCTGAACCAGCAGTGTTTAGCCAGCATACCAAGAGCAGTGTGCCATCTCAACCACCTCTTTCTGGTTTTAGGATGAACAATACAGAAGTGGGGAACTTCTCCTGGTTTCCTCCAGCCAATACGTACTCTGCAGTCGCAATTCCTTCAATTATGTCAGATCGTGGAGATCAGCCATTCCCAATTGTTGCAACTGGTGGACCACAAAGGATGTTGGGTCCCACTAGTGGTAGCAACCCGTTTAATTCTGATCTCTACAGGGGTTCAGTGTTGTCATCTTCCCCAGCAGTACCCTATCCTTCTACTTCATTTCCATATCCAGTCTTTCCTTTTGGGAGCAGTTTTCCTCTGCCCTCAGCTGCATTTGCAGGCGGTTCAGCTCAATATCTTGATTCATCATCTGCTGGGAGGTTTGGCTACTCTGCTGTCCGCTCCCAATTGTTAGGACCTGCTGCTATGATTTCTTCCAATTACCCAAGGCCCTATGTTGTTAATCTTCCTGATGGTAGTAATAACAGTAGTGGTGAGAGCACTAGGAAATGGGGAAGGCAGGGGCTAGATCTCAATGCAGGGCCTGGAGGCCCAGACTTAGAGGGGAGAGATGTGACTTCACCCCTTGCCCCACGGCAACTATCTGTTGCTGGTTCACAAGCCCTAGCTGAGGAGCATGTAAGGATGTTCCAGATGCAAGGTGGCCCCTTTAAGCGGAAGGAACCTGAAGGAGGGTGGGATGGCTACAAACAATCCTCGTGGAAATAGGCATGTGTAATGGCAAAATCTGGTGACTCATGAAACCTTGTAAGTGTTTGATTATGTATTTTTCACTCCTGTGTGCAAGGTCTGGTAACCTGATTTGAGGGACCAAGTTGCTGACACTCCAATAGAACCTACCAAATAAAATGTTCTTAGGATTTCATAGGCAGGAGTTCCTCTGCAATCAACTCTCATTTTGTTGTTCAGCTCCAGTACTTTTCAAGTACAACATGTCATTTAACTGTTCTCTGTAATATAGGGTTATTTAGTCTAATAATATTAATATAAAAAAATTGGTGACAGCTGCCTTCGGTTGGAAATACTGGGAGAATTGGGAAAAATAACTTTATTGCATTGTGATACAATTTTTGCTTAATTTGAATCGTGGAAAATAGTTGACAAGAAAACTCCGGAGAAGATATTTGGTGAAAGAGAGCTTGAATTATGTAAATGAATTACATTTTATGCACCTTATCCCCCAAAATCATTAAAAAGTTCTCCATTACTTTTCATGCCACTCCAAGTTATTTACATTTATCTGTCTCTTTATTTTTCCAGTGCTTTGAGGATGGGCATTTGCTAACCCCTGAGGTCATTGTCTAGCCTGTGTGCTTCTGGAGGATGGGTGGTAAGTGAGTTATTTGATCTTGTTCATGGTCTCCGACCCCCTCCTCTTTGATGTATCAGTTGTAATCTTAAAAGAATCTGTCATCTGTGGGTTCTTCAAGCTGTTTGCCCCTTAAATTTGTTATGGGCGGATGCTGATCCGCTCTGTAGATATTCTAACAGTTAGAAAACATACTGTGTTGCCCATACGCAAGCTTTGGTGCCTCTTCTGGTCTTCAATGCATTAGATGTGTACCATATTTCCATTTTGCCAACCCTTCCAAGTATCAATATTGGTCTGCTCAGAACAGAAGCTTCTGTGTGTGGTTTGTTACCTGAGCTTTTCTTTTTCATGGGTTGGTTTTGTTCTGAGGTTTTATGTTGTATTCTAATTTTCGTTATATTTCAATCGTCCACCAAACTTGTAGCTCTTTTACACACGTCTGTGAACCTATGTTGCATTTATGTAGGTTTGGGTCTTCATGACCATGTAACCAAGGTACGGTGTTGGCTCCATCATTGTAATAGTAGAGTGGTTTCTGGAGAAAAAAAAAACTGAATGTGGACGGTAGATTCAGAGATGGGAACCATTTGAGAACTGAAAGTCTCTCTTAACATCCAAGCATGCATGATAAGGATTTCTCCAAGTCACTTTCAAAAAATTATCTAATCAAATACATCATTTTGCACAGAACAATTTTCCAAATAAAGCTTTCCTGCTGCAAATGTAAAGCCTTTTAACCTTGAGTTCTTTACAATGAGCTTAATAAATGAATATCGGTGTTACAAGGGGTATCCATTTCCTGTTATCTATGACGTAATATGAAATTAAAAAAATCTAGTGCGAAGAAAGAAGCCAGCATCAAAGCTGGGTTCAGAGAGAATTGTTGGAGAGAATGCCTGGCACTTCGGCACATCATGATTAAGATGGCAGTTGATGTTTTCATTTGAGACACACTAGCCTCCTTCCGCAAAGGATGTTGCTGCAGTTTTGAGAGGGGTCATGTTAATAGAAACTAGAAACAGAAACAACACTTGAACTATAAAGGAAATTTAAAGAGCATATACATGGAACATTTGACGGATATCCTAGGTAGTGGATCACAGCCCATGTGGCTGTGCATCCCCAACCAATTTCACCTGAAACTAACATGACTTTTTACTCAACCACAACTTAATCATGAAGGGTCTCTTCAGTTCATGATATTCGCCGACACCACAATAATGATGTACAACAAAAACCCATGGTTCAAATTGGGATGATGGATGACCTATAGAATTGAATATATATCATGCAATATGCTAATCTAAAATCATGTAGCATGTAATCTAAGGCCATCTCAAATATAAGCAGATGAACAAAAGGAAGGTACTCACACTAGGCATCCTCGATTTTCCTTTTTCTTCTTCTCCTTCTGCTTCTGTGGAGGCTTGATAACCACCCTGATCGCAGCATCAAAAACTGCTTTCACATTCTGCAATTGCATCAGAGGGTCATTGACAGCATGATCGACAGACACACTAAAGTAGGGGGCATTGCAAGAGTGTTCAGCAATGAGACTCATTTGAGGAAAATCTGACATAGTGAAAGCATCTAATCTATAGTAATTTTTGGGCGGATTGCACACGCATCACCAAAGATAACTAATAGCACGAAAAGTATCATTCATGAATTCAAGAAATTCTTAAGAACCTAAGAAATCAGGAAACTGGCACCATGCACATAAGAAGTTGTTAGACCAATCTCAAGGTTGACACAACCGACTAGTTTGAGAATGGAAACCCAAGAAACCAACACTGACATCCCGTTGATTCAACAGTCAAACTCTTCTGAACCGAATACACAACTGCTGAGTTGTGGATCTTCTAAATGCTGGCACAGTATCAACTTTCCATTCGTTATTTCACTTCTGTTACATCTTTTGGTACCCGTGCGAATCTGGCAAGATCCAATGGCCCAGCATTTATGAATTGAAGATAGCCGCACTTGCTCATATCAACTTGACAAGTCAATACTAAGATTAGTTGGTTTTATTTGGAAATAACCATGCAACTCCCTCCTCAAAATATGCAGCTTCAAATATACTGAATGATTCACTAGCGTTATGAGAATATAAATACCAGTTGATACATACCTGCTGAGTTTTTGAGCTGCATTCTATATAAAATGAAGCACCAATCTGCTTGCGCAGCTCCTCGCCCTGGTTGTTTAGAAGAACAATCAGTGACACTATCCGTTGTTACATGATACACAAAGCAACTCTTCACTAAAAATTAAACCTGTGCAGTGGTCACAGGTACCAATCCTGGGTGATCAGCCAAATAGTGCTTATCCTCTCGAAGATCTACATATCCATTAGAACAATTCATTAGTTGCAGATAATGCTACATGATGACTACGAGTTCCATGTTACTACAAGATGACTGCCAATACAATCTGCATGCTGCATAGTCGGTTAATTTAATATTTCTTAGCATTACCATTGTTATAGAAAGAATCCTATGAATAGGTTTATACCAACAATCCGTAATAAATAAATAAAAAGATGGTTGTATCAATAACATTCCTGGTTCTTTGCCTTTCAACAAGTTAGGATCTCACTCTTCTCATACTTAAGGTCGGGGTATCAATAGACATGAAATGCACCAAATAATATCACTTTACCTGCTCCCAAAACCACTGACAGCATCTTTTCAATTATCCATTGTGCATATTGATGTCGTGTTTAATACAAAACTTTTTGGGATTCTAAGCTTGACAAAGACTAGGATTTAAGAAACATAATGGAAACATTGAAGTATGAGCATAACTTAACAAGGAAACTACCTATATAACCAGAGAACAAGTTCCACTCTGCATTCAGTTAGCGAAAGTAGAGCAGAATAATTCAGCTTACCTAATTTGGTGCCAGCAAGTACAACTGGGACTCCGGGAGCATAATGCTGGAGTTCAGGGATCCACTGACCAATAAATTGTGTCAGAAATTATAAAAGGTAATACAGCATTTGAATATGAAAAAACAGAAATTTTCAGGTGAATGCACCTTTTTCAGCACGTTCTCATAGCTTGCACGACTAACTAATGAGAAAGCTAAGACAAAGACATCTGCCCCTCTGTAGCTCAATGGCCTTAATCGATTGTAATCCTCTTGCCCTGTGAAATAGATTGAAGAAAGATGTAATACAACAAGCTAGCCAAATTTGGCAACACTATCTTTAGATAAAAGCCAAAATGAAAAATTCTGAAACATTAGGCTCAATCTAAGACATTAAAAATTAAATAAAAAGTAGATAAAAGGAACACATGTATATAATATGAAAAATAAAATTTGGGTACGGAAGTCAAAGATATCATACCTGCGGTGTCCCATAGGCCTAAGTTCACTGTGGTGCCTTCAACCACCACATTAGCGCTGAAGTTATCAAACACAGTGGGTATATAATCCTGATGAACAGCAAAAGCATTAAAATTCAAGGTGTAAAAATTGTAGGAATCGATGATAAGCAGAAGAAATGAGTATTTTGCTTTTCATCTGACAGAGGAACATCATCAAATTACTTGGAAAAGGAAGGAGGAAAAGCAAGCAATTTTCTTAGAGAGAGAGAGAAAGAGACTGCTTTGCTAAAATCTTGAAAACCACAAAAAAAAAAGCTGCAAAACCCAGAAGCATACACGCATAAAACAATGGAAAACGACCTAAAGGGCACAGAAAGAAGTACAAACTGAGAGACACAGATGGATCTTTTGAAAGAAGAAGAAGAAAGAACATACAGTGGGAAATTTGTTGCTGGTGTAGCAAATAAGCATACAGGTCTTCCCCACAGCTCCATCTCCCACCGTCACACACTTGATGAACCTTGAAGCGCTTGACGCCATTGAATTGGCAACCAAAACCAAGAAAGACTCTCAGAGCTCACAACACACATACACAACAAAAGGGTGGTGGTTGTTCAGTTGTTGGGATATACACAAAGTTTATGGCTTTTTGATTCGGCGGGAGAGAGAGAGAAAGAGGGGCTCATCACATGATTCTCACTCATTCACTCTCCCTTATAGCTGGTTCTTTAACTTTTTGCTGTTTATGGTTGCTTTCTTTTTTTCTCTTTCGTTATATAATATACAATAATGCACCAATACGTTTCATATAAGGGTTAATCTCTAATCTTTTTATGAGAAAAATCAAAATTAGCTTTGGTTGTGGGGTCTAACACAAATTTATTTTATCTGTATATATATAATTTTTATAGTCTGGGGAGGCAAATTGTGCAATTACTTGGTATTCTTTATGAATTTTTAGCCTAAACTTGTTCATTATAGTACACTCCAAGAATAATAATAACCCATAAAAAAAAAATTAATATCTCATTTTCTACCCATGAACTTTTTTATTTTTATTTTGAGGGGTATGGTCAGATGAATTAAGAAGTTATGGTGGCATACGCTGTAGCTCAAAAGCTACTTTCAGCTTTTGTCCTATCTCAAATAAAATAACAGCACGCAGGCAGATAAACCAAACATAAATAAATATGGAAAATGCTAGGAAGATCAACTTGGGATATCAACTTGTGTATCAACTCTCTAATAGAGCGTGGGACCCATTGTATTGGTGAGCTCAACCTTTATTAGAGAGTTGGTACACAAGTTGGTCTCCCTTCTTTGTCCAAAAAAAAAAAGTTGATCTCCCTAGCATAACGCAATAAATATTGTGTGCTATTGCAAAATAAGCAACACCCAATTGTTGAAAATTGATATTAAAGGATGTTACATCATCTAAAAACGATGGACTGCAATTAAAATACTTGAAGATGATAACCTTCTACATTAATCAAGCACTTAAAATGGTGAAAATTTTCAGGCTCTTAGCTAAAGCCCCATGGTTTTCTTGAGGTGATTAATTAATATGGGGTCAATTGAGTCAATTTATTTGTCTATGTCACAGTTTCTCTAAAACCCAACATCACTCATCTTACTTATAAGTTATAAGTGGCTTATTGGGACATCAAGATTAAATCTTTATCATAACCTAAATCTTTTTTTTTAAGTACAAGCTATCAGGGCTATCAAGGGAGGAGGGTTTATACAAATATTCATTGGTGTACTAGGTTTCGAACCTCCACCAGTATAGGTGGAGGTGGAAGAGCTCAACTAACTAAACTATACTCCACTAACAATCCATCCACATCTTAATATAAGAGGCAATGAATTTTGGACCATGTGGGATAATTGAATAGCTAAGAAAGCCTGTAGGATTTGCTTGCTTTTCTTTTCTGGACCATGCCAGTACATATTTTGAGGCATGGAATGGAAATAGGGCAATAAAAACACAGCATTGAGTATTGCAGTTACACCACCAGACAGCCACCAAGAATCAGTTGAGACAAAAATCGAGACTTGAAGAGAAGATAGAGTCTTGTTATGCTTGAAAATGAATATGGGGCAAAGAAAGAAGAAAAGAAAAAAGGCTTAGGTGGTCGGCTAGAAAATTATTGAGGATTTCAAAAGGGTTGGTTGGTCGGAGGGTGAAGTAAAGATTGAGCAACATAATAAAAGGGGTCGCCCTCAAAATGGGGTCTAGCCATAATTAACACAGAGAATGACAATTAAGAACAGTTGGGTTAACTGTGCATATGTTTACTGTTTTAACTTTCTGGAGGAAGTAAATTTGGCCAGAGAGAAACCATTTATCTTATAATTCTTGATCCGCTTTGATGCATCATGAGTTTTATTAGCATGTATAGATTGTATACAGTTCAACATTTGACATCATAATGATGTTCAACCACTGTCATTCGTTATTATGATGAGCAAGCATACCAGGTTGTGATTTGATCTGGTCAAGATTTGCTACCCAAGTGTGCTTTGTTAGTTGTCTCCAGTAATTTTCACAGTATTACTTTTACATGGATTTTAACTCTGAGTGCAGGTGAAAAATTACATGGGCTGATTGAGTAATCTCATGGGCTGCAGGGTACATTCCATTGGACAATACGGTCCCATTTTGTGAAGGGGATGGTTCTGCATCTAACACATCAGGCCCAACAAAGAGTATTTTCGTGATGTAGTGGATGCTTTTGCTGCAGTGGTAGGGTTTAGGGTTTATAAAAGCGTTAGGTTGTCTCTTGGTGTTGGAATGTTACCTTGAACATAATGTGCATTCTTTGTCTCGTTTCTTTTAAAAAAAAGTGCATTCTTATGAAATAACGTTAGATTTTAATATGAAATTTGAGTCCTAAATTTAGACGACCTTAGATTCTAAACGTCATATATGAACTTTGAGCCTATAAGCTTCAAAAATTGTATATAACTTGGACCCTGCCCTAAATTTCGAACTCGGCCCTAATCTTCGACTCTCGAAAATCGGATCTAAACATCGAGCCATGAACCCTAGACTCGAACACCAAATGAAAGCCTCACAAAACCATACTCACGTCAAAATTGGACTGCAAACTTGATTTGATTGCATCCAAACAATAGAATTGATTCCAATGTTTACTTTTGTGAAGTTGTAGCATAGAAATATTTTTGAAATTGGTTTTTTGGTGTGAAATAAAGAAGAACAAAGATTTAGAGAAACGCTTAGGAAAGTTGTAGACCGTTTTTTTCCCCATTTTATTTTATGGACTCACTTACCCTCCTCCCTCCAATTCTATTGCTCCCTGCACCGTTTTTTCCCGCATTTTCCTCTCTCTCTCTCTCTCTCTCTCTCTCTCTCTCTCCGTGTAAATCCCACCATTAATACACACGCCTTTCTCAGACACACAAAACGCGCAGAAAGAAAGAAATCCTCTAAATTCAAAATTAAAACCCCCAATGGGCAAACGAGGCCGTAAGCCCAAAACCCCCATCCCTGAAACCCTAGATTCACCAACCACTACCGTCGCTTCCCCGCCACCACCGCCGATAACAACCGCCGCAACGGGATTGGACGACGCCGTCTTCTCCGTCAGCAACGTCGAGATAATCGAGCAGCCTCAAGCCTCTCACCCCCACCAAGAGGGTCGCCGCCGCGGCCGACCCAAGAAGCTCCGCAAGCTCACTGACAATCCCGAGATCATGACCCCTTCCCGAAGAGTCCCTCGGACAGTCGACAATGGCGAGCACAAGGGTTCCTTGGGACCCGCTGTGGCGGTTTCGGATCCCGGCGCGGCTTGGGAGGGCGTTGCGAGGGCGGTGCCGGCCATGGATGCGGTGGTGAAGGTGTTTTGTGTGCACACGGAGCCGAATTTCTCGCTTCCGTGGCAGAGGAAGAGGCAGTATAGCTCTAGCAGTAGTGGGTTTGTGATTGGTGGTAGGAGGGTGCTGACCAATGCACATTCCGTGGAGCATTATACCCAGGTCAAGCTGAAGAAGCGTGGCTCTGATACTAAGTACTTGGCCACTGTTCTCGCTATTGGCACTGAGTGCGACATTGGTATTCAAAGCTTTTCTATTTCTGTTCTTTTTTTTGCTTCTTTCTGATTGTCATTGTTATTACTTTTGAATTTTCACTGGTTCATGATGTTTGGGAATGGGGATGGTTTCTGCTTGAGGACGTGTTCAATTTCATTTGGGTATGGTGTTAGTTCTGTGTTGTTATTACGTAGCGAAACTTGTGTCGTGAGGATGCAGGAAGTGATTTGTTTCCAGAAGGCAAGGAGAATTTCCAGGTCCACCATAGGAAGAATTATAGAGTAGAACGGATAGATGTACTGGATATAAACAAGCTGAAAATAACTTACATTGTAAATGAAGGCATAGGGGTGGGAAACTAATGCAACGGATGAATTTCTCTAGTCATATGTAAATGTGGTGGAAGGTGTGGATTGATCTCAACATGGGTGGAGATGAAGGGATTGTTAGTGAATGTCATGCACATTGTGCATCAAATCCCATTAGTGGGATGAAAGACATTATGTAAAGCAAATGTTGATAACTACTTGAACCTATTTGGATTTTGTATAATTGAATATTTGTTACATGCAAGTGTTGTTTATGTGATCTTGCAGCCATGCTTACTGTTGATGACGACGAGTTTTGGGATGGAGTGTCGCCAGTGGAATTTGGGGATTTGCCTGCGCTTCAAGATTCTGTGACTGTTGTGGGTTACCCGATTGGGGGAGACACAATTTCAGTGACAAGTGGTGTTGTTTCACGAATAGAGATTCTATCCTATGTTCATGGGTCAACGGAACTTCTAGGTTTGCAGGTTATAAGAATGTAATTCTAGCATTTTTGTTGGACATCTTGCTTAGCAGTTGAAACTTTGTCCTAATGTCCTATTTCTTACTCGTTGCCCTTTTCCAGATAGATGCTGCCATAAACTCTGGAAACTCAGGTGGGCCTGCTTTTAATGATAGGGGAAATTGTGTGGGTATTGCATTTCAGTCCCTTAAACATGAAGATGCAGAAAATATTGGTTATGTCATACCTACACCAGTCATTATGCACTTTATCCAAGATTATGAGAAGAATGGAGCATATACGGGTAAATTTGTTACATTTCAATGTCTTTTAAGCATTGCAGTTATATAAATTGTCATTGACATAGGCTGTCTTTCTATGTAATGTAGTTACAAACCTATGCGGGTAACAGTCAGTGGCAGCCTGGCGGTACTTAGTATTATCAGTTTTGCACGTACTTTTCATCTTATGATTGTCTATAATGTGCCAGGATTTCCTATTCTCGGGGTTGAGTGGCAGAAAATGGAAAATCCTGACTTGCGTATGTCAATGGGCATGAAACCTGATCAGAAGGGTGTTCGCATTAGAAGAATTGATCCCACTGCTCCAGAATCTCAGGTTCTGAAGCCATCTGATATTATTCTCAGCTTTGATGGAGTTAATATTGCCAACGATGGAACAGGCATGTGTTCTTATGTTCCTGCTACATACATAGATATGCATTATGGGTATATGCTTATGACATACATCTGTAATTTGTTTAGCAAGTGAAGAAATTGCATACATTTAAAGAATTTATCCTTATTCTTGCTTTTATTTGCTTTTCATGACGCTTCTGCTAATTGTTATAACAGTGTTGCTAAGTGGTGAATTATATATATTGTGTGCAACATGTCTTACCTTTCTATTTTCTCTCTTATCGTACTCTATGTGACTTGGCATTTTTTTTCCATGATGAGTTTCAGTTCCTTTTCGGCATGGAGAGCGCATAGGTTTTAGTTACCTCATCTCCCAGAAATATACTGGAGACAATTCAGTGGTTAAAGTTCTGCGTAATTCTGAGATTCTCAGTTTTGACATCAAACTTGCATCCCACAAAAGGCTAATTCCAGCACACAACAAGGGCAGACCCCCGTCATATTATATTATTGCAGGATTTGTTTTTACAGCTGTGTCTGTTCCCTATCTTCGATCTGAGGTTAGTAGTTCAACTTTAATTCCCTCTGCTCGATAATTTTCTGTGTTTTCATGAACAGTGATCTTAAACCTGTTTCTGTCATCTGCTTATGGGAAGCTGAGGAGTGAGAGATTGATTAATTATTACTCAACTGTTGTGTTGCTTATTACAGTGTCTATATGTGTGTGTGTGTAAAAGTAAATACTGAAATCATCTGACGCAATGAGTTAAGATATTGGGGTAGGGTTGTGTACTACTAGACCCAAATTTAAAATGACCCGATGAGTAACATGGCTTGATTGCCCTCATTAGGCAATACTACCTTTGCTATATTTGTTTTTTACCACAGTTTCTAGTATCTTTAAAGTTATGATGATACTGTTAGGTAGTGATTAGGTTACATCTGAAATTAAGATCAAATGGTGTGTACTATCTCAATCCAACTCTTTCTGCTCGTATTTCAGTATGGAAAGGATTATGAATTTGAAGCTCCTGTCAAGCTTTTGGACAAAATGCTGCATTCATTGCCACAATCACCGGATGAGCAGCTTGTCGTTGTGTCTCAGGTTCTCTCACTCACTCTCTCTCTCTCTCTCTCTCTCTCTCTCTCTCTGTTATTTCTTTCCTGGAAGGGCTGCGTTGACCCTGTGCTGACTTTTTCACGTCAATTTGGGATGTTTCTTTCAGGTTCTTGTGGCTGATATCAACATCGGTTATGAAGAAATAGTTAACACTCAGGTCGGGGATTGCACTCTGCTGGCTTTTACTTTATTTTGGATGTTAGTAGCTGAATTACTTCAAATAACATGCTGTTGGACGACTTACTCTTTATATGTGTGTAGGTTCTTGCTTTAAATGGTAAGCCAGTGAAGAATCTGAAGAACTTGGCCAGCATGGTAGAGGAATGTGAGGATGAATTTTTGAAATTTGATTTAGAATACCAACAGGTTTATCATCTCTCTCTCTCTCTCTCTCTCTCTCTCTCTCTCTCACACACACACACACACACACACACACCCCAACCCCCTCCTTTGTGCATGTGTGCTTTCTGTCTGTATCATATCCTAATTTGTGGTATTTATGCAGATGGTGGTCCTCCGAACAAATACTGCTAAAGCAGCAACTCTAGACATTCTTGCTACACATTGCATACCCTCGGCAATGTCTGACGATCTGAAGCATACCCTCGGCAATGGCTGACGATCTGAAGACTTGAGGTTGGACTGGACGCAGGTGCATTACGTATTCAATTTTGTAGCCCGCCTTCTGCAGTGTCTCAAATAGAAATTGTAAGACTCTGGAGGGTTCTAGCTATGTTTTCATAGTTTATATATTTGTTTCCTGTGAAGGCGTCAGGAGTAGTTGTAGACCTTCTCAGAAAAATTCGGTAGTTTTTCAGGTGCCTCATTGAGGATTGTTGATTTCTCTCTTCTTTCGAGGGATGGATGTAAGCATGAAAATATTAAATTAAGCTACGATGATCCTCAAATTTTGTTTCTTTATACAAGTTTTCTGAACGTTGAAAGGAAACCCAATTGGTCTTTATGAAGGGAACCTCTCAGTCTAGAATAGCACCTTATTCTTTAGCATCGGAGAGATTCATAAGATTTCTTGAGTATATCTAAGGATAATCCAAGCATAGAAACTTGGCTTAATTAGAACAATATAACATTTTTCTACAACTTACACAAGTGTGGAATGCATTTTGTTTCATTTTCATACATGTTGTGTGTAGGCCTCCAAGAGAGGCGTCCTCTGTGATGATGACTGCAGCCTATCAACAACCTCATGCGTTTCACCCTGTTCCTTTTCGTCTCTCTTTTGGTCCAAACTTTTTTCCTCCTTTGATTGCGCCCATATTACTCCATAGAAACCCACTACAATTACCACTGCTCCAATAACACTGCCGCCCAAAATTAAACAAAAATACTGTTATCATATTTATATATAGGGAGCTGATTTTCCCACTCTCATTTCTCTACTTACACTCCCTTTTGTTTTTGAATACTTTTTAATTCTTTTTCCCTCTTTCCAATTCTACCCTTAACCTACTTTAAGGTTTTGATAACTGAAATTAAGAAAAGTTAACCTCAAATAAAACATAAAACAAAAATAAATTTTGGAAATGGATAGAAATGTAAGTATCTTCACCAAATTCTTTGTTTTTTTAAAACTAAGTATGTGAATACTATTTATTTTTGTTGTAGTTAATAGATAATAAATTTTTTGGGCTAACATGTTTATAAGTAGATGAACCGTGTTTATAACCATGTTTATAAGTAGATAATAAATTTTTATTCTTTCATAATATTAGTAAGTGATTGTATATGTCTTCTTGTTAAAGGGAATTGTAGTGTAAGGGTAGAATATGAAAGAGAAAGAACAAAAAATAACAAAATTGATTAAAAAGTATTAAAAAGCAAAAGGGAGTGTAAGTGGAGAAAGGGGAGTGAGAAAATCATCTCCCTATATATATATATATATATATATATATATATATTATTAAATGAAAATATAGTTGTACTGAGGCTTCTTCCTAATCCTTCTTTTATCATATTTGTATTTTTATTATGGTAAAAGTCTTCTCTAAACCCATGTTGTATTATTCTTTCTATGAATTCTGAACAACCATTCAGATCTGACTGGCAGATGCACATTTTCATTATATTTCACCTGCCCAATGTAAAGAGTGCCAAACTTGAACTACCATCTTTCTAGTTTTTTTTACATGTCAATTTTTTCAAACCAATCACGCAAGTTACGCATTTGTTTTCCCATTATCATATTTTATTTAGTACATACCTAAATCTAATCCATGTTTTACATGGGATTTAATAGATTATTCTTTGCGTGATGGATTAGAAAATTATGAAAGCAAAGTCCCATCAGACTAACATGCCCTTTATAATATGTTAAGTAATTTTCTTAATAAATGAGAGTTTTAAAGGAGTATTTCTCTTTTGTTTCTGTAATTTAACTTGCCTAACTAATTTGGACCCAAAGCACTATGTGGGCAGAGGTTCGAAACCCCCCAGACACCCAATGAATATTTGTGTAAATCCCCATTCCCAATAGCTTGTACTTAAAAATAAATAAACTTGGACCCTAAGCACAATAAGATGATAATGCCAGTAAAGAGAGGGGTTGTCACCTTCCAATATGGAGTGTGTCACCAAGGAAGATGGCACCCATTAAGGCAGCAATAGCAATCCCCAAAGGCTTGAACGTGGCCACAAATACTGGTCCTTTCTTTTGTATGCACCATGTTAGAGTAGAGAATGTTATTACACTTCCAAAAATAGCCTGTGCAGAAATAAACCAATGATGTAAATTAGAAGCTCTTTCAAAATAAATAAGCATGAACACTTATCAGAGGAAAAAGATAGATTTAAAACTTTGTCCTATGTGCTTACTGAATACAAGATTGAGATGAGCTCCATGTCAAGTCTCAGTGCCCAGGCATTTGGATTCTTTTCTACAATCAAAGTAAGTATTGCAGATTGAATGGTCCCAAAGAAGCAATAGAAGGAAACTACTGTCATCTCTGATGGGTAGCCTTTGAGAATTGCTGCCTTCAGATATAACATTAACTTAAGATCAGCTCCATTTTCAACAAAAAGTTCTGAATTGAAAAAGAAGAGTTTCACATCAATTTCAAGTGACTTGTTATATTGAATATTATTACCTGAGCAGTATTCCATATGGCAAGAGATAAGCTAGCTGTTGTAAGAAAAAGGCCTCCAATGACCCAATTATTCATTGATGTCAACATAGTAGGGTTTGGTGGTGAAGAGTCTATGGCAGTTTGGCTTGGCAAGAACCCAATTGCAGGACCCTTGTAAAGAGTGACTATCAATGCTCCTGAGATAGATACCAGGGTGCCCATGATTTTGATCTGGCTTCTTGAGTTTCTCAAATCGAACTTTTCCATTCTATAAGCAAACACAAAATCTTAAGTTCCTTCCATTACCAAAATGTCTTTCCTTACTCCCTTAAACTCCCATTAAATTCCAAAATCAATTTCTTACTTGACCTAAAGATCCATCATCCATCTTATTATTTTAGATGCAACAGAATTTAAAAGTTATTAGCTTTATTTATTGTGCCTCATACCCTTCAATGATTGAAGGCCAGGCAATTTTCTGTCTCTTTGTTTCTTTATCTGGTGCAGGGAAAAAGGACCAACCTGAAGATAACAGCAAGAAAGAAGGTGAAAGCTGGGACCAAGTTGCCCAAGGCAGAAGCAAGAGTAGGAGAGCTGTAGCTTACTCCAGTGAATACACAATTCTGCATAACAGTTATCCTGCAAAAAAACTGAGTGAAACTAACAAAAAGAAGAAAAAAAAAAAGCCAGAAAACCAACATCTCTAATGGTCCAAAGTGAAGGTCTTGAGATCAAATTACGTACCCAGCAAGGCTGAGAAGGAAGAATTTACATAGAACAGAAAAGGTAAGTGGTGGTCTCTTGTTTCTGCAAATAAGAAGAAAACAGAACACTTTACATTTTTGTTGGACATAAAAGATTGAAGAGATGAATAGGAAGATGAAGAGTTGAAGGGAAAACCTGTGGATGATGAAAGAAGAGGGGAGGAGGATGAGAGTGGCAAGAGCATTTGAGTAGACAACAAAGACAAAGTGGCTCATTCCTCTGGACATGGCTGCTTTACTCAGTGTGGTCAACCCCACATCCATAATCTCCACCATCACCATGGCTGCAAAGGGCACCAATTCCACCAAACTAGACTTCACCTCCATCTCTCTCTCTCTCTCTCTCTCTCTCTCTCCACAGAAATGGCAAGTCCCAGTGTGAGTAGCTGAAATGTGAAAATCATTGGTTCTTTAAAGACAAATAGAATTATTAGGCCCTAGTCGGGCCTCGGCTTTAATTAGGCCCAAATAGGTAGCAGTTGAGCTAAAACGGGCTCCTTTAACTCCAATGGCCCGCGAAACCAACCCCACATTCACCGCTATCGACCCGCATCTACTATTGTCTTTTCTTCGATTTTCAGAGTCTCAAATTTTCTTCTAATTTCCAATTTGGGGCTCTCGACCCCAAATTCATTCTGGTTCTAAATCAATTTTTCTCCTTCTCACGTTTTATATATATGGAGAAGGTTGAGCCCACTTTTTTTTTTTGGTCGAAAGGCAAATTCATTGAAAACCCACAAAAGGGCAAGGAACACAACCAAAGGGCCAAGCAAGGAGCACCCGCAAAAGACAAACGCAACAACACCAAAACAGGACCAGATCTAACTAAAACCCAGGCATAGGCATAGCATGAAGATCATGATCCCGCCGGAAACAAAATTAAGCTGGCAAAAAGCCAGCAGTAAAACAGAACCCACACCTAACATGTGGTAGCAACACCAAGTTGAAACAAGAAAAAATACAGAAAATACACGCCCAAATCACAAATCTACCACAAAAACCAGTAACTCTCAAAGCAGACCAAAGGCACAGGGAAAGTAACCAAGTAACAGGAAGGAGGTGGTGCAGGCACCAGAGTCGGAGCAAAGTCGCGGCTCGACACACCTTCCGAGGGGTACGCGAGAGCTCGCGTTTAGAGTTTGCCGTTGAAACCGGGTGATGAAGTCGGTTCGAAAGGGAAGTGGGGGGATCTGGGTTCTGGTCATCAGCAACCCAAGAAATCGCATCTTCGCCGGAATCGTAAACACCAACGCACCAAGGGAAGCCCAGCAACTGAAGTGACGAAGGCCAATGGACAGCTCTGTGAGAGATGGAATGGTGGAGATGTGAGGGATCTAAACAGATAGGAGGCATGAAGCCTTCGATACAAGCAGTGAATGCTCGAACGACGTCACCCGCTCTCATCCTAAGAGAGAGCATCGGAACCAGCAAAATGGGAACACCAAATGCCCGAGAGAGAACCTCGATAGACCGCGGCGGCCACAGGGGAAAAGCACCCAAGCCACCGAAACACCACAGCAAAGCCCGGATAAACTAGATCCAGAATAGATCTACCGGAGATGCCAAGCAACAGAGCAACAAAACCACCCTTACCCAGCCACGCACACCCTGTAAAACCCAAAGACAGAGCAGAAGAAAAAGGGAGAGAGGAAGAGAACTCAGGGAGTGGGGGAAGGAGTGGACGGAAGGCAAGGGAAGGAAGGGAGAGGGGGGCGAGAGAAGAGGGGAAGAGTGGGAAAGAGACAGGGGAGGGGGGAAGGGAGGGGGGAGAGCAAGAGGAACTCACCCACCCCCAAAGGGGGTGGCGGCTATAACTCCAAACCTTGTCTTTCTTTCACAGGGAGAGAGAGCTAGGTCAAAAGTGACTTTCCATTTAGCTCGGTTGAGCCCACTTTAGAAGCATTCAATGAGGAGAAGAGACGGGTCAAGAACCCTTGGGGAGTAAACTTTGTAACCATATTTGTATCATTCAGAAGGCAGCTGGCGCACTTAAATTCAAAGGCAGCTTTGTAGTGGCAATATGAAGACCTCTAAATAAATGAGCCATTACAGTACAGGGGGTCCAAGAACGATATCATCGTAATTATGCACAGCCTCTGCTAATGGCTTGTATTCAAAACTCAGGGCAGAAGACTTGTTGAGAGAGCATAGCAGGAACATGAGATGTGGTTTTTAATTAGCGATTGAGCTAAAACGGGCTCCGGTTTAATTCCAATGGCCCGCGAAACCTTTACTATTATTTGCTATAATTTGTTTTCTGTGATTAATTTTTGCTCTTTTTTTTTTTTACATGGAAAACAAAGTTTTTAACAATTTTAGTTGGTAATTGTTAATTGATTAAATTATTTAGGCACCACATATTTAATTTCAGACCACCTCAGGTCTTGCTTGCCACGTAATGACATTATCGTTTCAAACACGTGCGTCCGAGCGTGTGGACATTCACCCTCTACCCATAGTTTCTTCATTTTTTTGTTCTCCAATTGAATTTCTCGATTTCCCATCTTCCTTTTCTGTTTGGTTCCCGCGAATCTCCAATCAGACAAGACAAAGGGTCGACCCGTTAATTGAGTTGCGCTGGTAAGATTCCCAGTTGTCCTCCTCTCTATTTTTCTTTACTAGTAATCTGAATGAGCAATTTAATTTTTTTTTTTTTCTTTGTTTATGGTTGTCTGGGTAGGCCATAGACCTTCATACGATTGCAGCTTCTATTTAAATGTTAAACTTTGCTGCACTTATACATTGATTGCCAAAATCTCAGTGTCGGTTTCATGGAAACTTTTTGCATTTTTTTAAAATTTAAAATTTAAAATTTTAATTTTGGTTTGGGAGGGGTTGAATTGCTATAACCTCAAACTGGGCATGTCTAGGAAATGGTTAAGAAGGAAAGAATAAAGATTGGAATGTTCTAGTGCGTTTGGTATTGAACTCACTATTGCTCGAACTCGAAGTTTTATTTTTCTTGAGGGGTCATGCTGTGGAGTAAACAGTGGCATTGCATTTTTCTGATCATATCCATATTGTGATGATGAATCATGGCAAATTTAATTGCTGTTGTGGAGTTTAAGATTGTCCTGTAAGTGCGATGATTTGATTTTTTTTTTCTATGTCTGTAAAATCAAGCGGCATTTCTAGTTTTGTTATCCATTGTCAAGTATGCTTGCATATACAAACTTTTCGATGATAAATTTGTAGCTTGGAAATTTACTATATTGGATTGCGGTGTGAAAAACTCTAGGCTTCTCGATTATGGTGAATGATGAATGTTAAACGTCAGTGTTAGAGGCTTAGGAACTGACTTGTTGTCCAACCATACAAGTTGAACTAGTCATTTTGATTGTAGCGTGTTATGTAACAACTTTAAGCGGAGGCATGTACCATTTTAAGGAGAGGCCTTAGTTTGTACTTGGTGGAGAGGCATCTGATGCGCAATGCATTTAGATTCTGTAATATGATGTCATAGTCGTATAATGCTAATATGCTATTAGGATATATAACAAAAGATTTGTTTATTTAATACTTCAGGAAAGCAGTGTTTGAAGGCTTTCAACTTTGTGTATTGACAAGCTTCATTTGTCAGCAGGAAAAGGTTGAGCCACCGACCCGCATCTACTATTTCATTTTCTTCAACTTTCTCAGTCTCAAATTTTCTTCTAGTTTCCAATTTAGGGCTCTTGACCCCAAATTCATTCTGGTTCTGAGCCATTTTCTCTGCTCTCACATTTGGTAGATATGGAGAAGGTTGAGCCCACTTTAGAAGTATTCTATGAGGAGAAGAAGCGGGTCAAGAACCCTTGGGTACCAGTTGGTAATTCCCATTTCGATTCCTTTACTTTTATTTGCTAGAATTTGTTTTCTGTGATTCATTTTTATCAATCCTTTAAAGTTTATGTATATGTGTGATTGTAAAGTTTGGTGCTTGATGAGTTTTATCGATGTATTGTTTGATTTTTTGGTGGATCTGGGATATATAAAACTAATAATTGGGATTCTTAATTAACTGCATTTAGTTGAGAGAATTTCTAGTTAAAGTAACTTAATTAGTGAAATGAGAAAATTCTCAATAGTTAAGAGAACTTATAGTTTAACTCTTGTTCAATTTTTAGAAGTCTATGCCCCAGCTCAGAGGCTAGTAGAAAATGTAGCTCTTTCTTATCCGTGTTAGGTTGGTGGAGGTTAAAGTATGAGCTGGTTTAGTGTGCTTATTGATTTGTTGGCCATTTAGGTAAAAAGAAGACAATGTTTTGTTTCAAATCTAAACTTCTCATAAATTCTTTGTCCCCTATATCTTGTATACGGATTTGGAAAAGTTTCAAGTGTTTTGTCCTAGTAACCAGCAGTAGCTACGTATTTATTTGAAAAAGAAGGCTTATTGAGTATATATTACAGTGTTGCAGGGGAGACCATGTCTCTTAGCAAGATGCAAGAAAGTTTTGTTATTTTGATATGATACCGGTTCCTTTGTTGTTAGGGTCCTGACCTGCAGAAGGTTAGCTGTGAGACTCATGTTTTTAGTGTAATCAGTTGATGTTGGTACCTTTTTGGCGCCTAACTTGATGTTTAATCAGGTGTAGACTATTGTTCTTTGTTGTCTTAGTGTGCTAAGTTGAAATGCTATCGAGATGGTGAGATTGAAGTCACTTAGGTCCTAGAAAATTATGGTAGTAGAGATAACAACTGGAGATGCGTGTATGGTGGATTTCATGGTGTGGGAAAGGAATGAGGAGGATGAGTTATGCAAAGTGTATGCTTTAGGGATCCTCTTTCTGTTTCCTTTGAACTTGCTAAAAAATGTTTTTTTGTGTGTATCCATAAGTGGTAAATGTTTAACTTCGAAGTTTGAGGATTGAGAATTGAATGATGTCAAATAGATCTGCTTTCTGCTTTCTGCTCTTTCAAAATCACTCTTGCAGATTATTTTCCTACTCCAAAGCTGTGATTTGGGTTGGTTTTATGCGTTAAGATGGCTAAGCTAGCATTCTGATGATCTTGTGCTTCTTTGTTTTTGACCTTTATGTGATCCATTTCAGTTAACCAATAGAATTAAACTTTTCAGGGGCGTTGTTGACTGCTGGCGTGCTCACGGCCGGCTTGATCAGTTTCAGGCAAGGCAATTCTCAGCTGGGGCAGAAGCTAATGAGAGCTCGTGTGGTTGCCCAAGGTGGCACAGTGGCGCTTATGGTTGGCTCCGCATACTACTACGGGGAGAATCCGTGGAAAAAATAAAGTTAAACTATTTATGCCTTATATGTTATCATTTCCCTTCTTTCTTACAATTACATTTTGTTGCTTCATGCATGTTGAAGCAAAATTAGGCAGTAGAACCAATTATATGTCTCTGATAAGTGAGTTTCATAGCTTGCGCTAAATAAATAAACTCTAATATTGGAGGGTTACCAAAACAAAACCATTTCAAATCATGAAGGTTCTTATGACAATTTGGTTGGTACGGATTTTGAGGGTTTACCAAAAACGAAGCAAAAAGTAAAAAAACACAGCTTCTTCTTTGCAACTTCATACGTGCCATTTCATTCGAATGTGTTTTTTCAAGGATTAGAATTTTATCATCTTGATGAGAGGAGGAGATTGACATCAAATCGAATCCTATCAAAATAGCACCGACCTTTCGTTATCCCCGAGATTACTCTAATCTTAAGCATAACATAATCCTCGTTTTGATTTCATTCCACTATTTGATTAAAACTCTCGGGTTATAATTTGACAAGAAATGAATATTCCCTGCTTCTAATCCGAAATGCACTTCCCATTATTTTAAGGAACTAATTTTTTTTTGCCAAAAATTAAAATGTTCATTATAATAAATAAAAAACCATAACATGCAGAATTTAGGGATGAAAATGGTCACCATATTTATCATTGAATAATGCTATAATTAAGAAAAAGATTAACTCAAACAAATCAGGATATGAAAAGTTAATGGGGGGGTTAAAGAATCTACAAAACAAATTATTATTTATTTATTTTACATGGAAAAAAAAGTTTTTAACTATTTTAGTGGGAGTATTTTTTCTTACCATTTTAAGCTAAGGTGTATGCTCAACACTTGATACGTGTCCATAAGTATAACTATGGTTACATAAATCAAAGTAAAAAGTTAACTATGATTATGATTATGGACACGTTTCAAATATTAAGAAGGGTGGTATGAGCATACACTTTGGGTTAAAATGGTGAGAAAAATATTTTAGTTGGTAATTGTTAATTGATTTAAATTATTTAGGCACTACATATTTAATTTTAGTCCACCTCAAGTCTTGCTTGCCACGTAATAACATTATCATTTCAACACGTGCGTCTATACATGTCGACATTCACCCCCCAACTCTCTCTTCCTTTCACCCTCTACCCGTAGTTTCTTCATTTTTCTTCTCCAATTGAATTTCTCAATTTCCCATCTTCTTTTTCTGTTTGGTTCTCGCGAATCTACAATCAGACCAGACAAAGGGTCGACCCGTTAAATGAGTTGCTCTGGTAAGATTCCCAGTTGCCCCCCTCTCTATCTTTCTTTATTAGCAATCTGAATGAGCAAATTATTTATTTATTTATCTTTGTTTATTGTTGTCTGGGTAGGCCATAGATCTTCTTCATACGATTGCAGCTTCTATTTAAATGTTATACTTTGCTGCACTTATACATTGATTGCCAAAATCTCAGTGTCGGTTTCATGGCAACTTTTTGCATTTTTTACAAAATTTAATTTTTATTTTTAATTTTGGTTTGGGAGGGGTTGAATTGCTATAACCTCAAACTGGGCATGTCTGGGAAATGGTTAAGAAGGAAAGAATAAAGATTGGAATGTTCTAGTGCTATTGGTATTGAACCCACTTGCTAGAAGTTTTAGTTTTCTTGAGGGGTCATACTGTGGAGAAAACAGTGGCATTGCATTCTCTGATCATATCCATATTATGATGAATCATTGCAAATTTAATTGCTGTTGTGGAGTTTAAGATTGTCCTGTGAGTGTGATGATATGATCTTTTTTCTTTGTCTGTAAAATCAAGCGGCATTTCTAGTTTTGTTATCCATTGTCAAGTGTGCTTGCATATACAAACTTTTCGATGATAAATTTGTAGCTTGGAAATGTACTATATTGGATTGGGGTGAGCAAACTTTAGGCTTCTCGATTATGGTGAATGATGAATGTTAAACGTCAGTTTAGAGGCTTAGGAACTGATTTGTTGTCCAACCAATACAAGTTGAACTAGTCATTTTGATCGTAGCGTGTTATGTTACAACTTTAAGCGGATCACATACCATTTTAAGGAGAGGCCTTAGTTTGTACTTGGTGGGGAGACATCTGATGGGCAATGCATTTAGATTCTGTAATCTGATGTCATAGTCGTATGATGGTAATATGCTATTAGGATATTAACAAAAGATTTGTTTATTTAATACTTCATGAAAGCAGTGTTTGAAGGCTTCTTTGTGGTTCAGCTTTCTAATTTATGCTGTTAGTTTACGTGCATTGATTTGTGTATTGACAAGCTTCATTTGTCAGCTGGAAAATGGTCTGGTGACCTTAAATTGCACTTAGGGGAATTTCTAAATTCTGTAATCTTTTTTTTTTTTCCTACTTTCTTGTCCCTATTAATTGGTACTGTTGAGATAATGCATGGAAAACCTCTGGTTTGTTTTAAGTTTTAATTGAGGTGGATTTCTTCCTGCTGCACCATCCATTGCGTATAAAAGTTGCTAACAAAATGCAGTTTTACATATTACAGGCTGGTCATGGTTTAAAATGTTATATAGATCCTATTCTATGATGGTGATGATTTGTGAAAGCCAATTCCTTCTCTAAGTAGACTTTTGAACTTGTGTAGGTTGCACTGATTTTGCTTTTTACTCTATAGATATGTGTTTCCCTTCATCCTTCTTTTGGACATCAAATAAAGTCTGAGGTTTCTGTTACTTCTGCTTCTACTTCACCATTTATTTTTGCAGAATCTTGTGGATTTCCAGAAGGTCAGTGTTATTTCTTTCTCATGTATTAGTCTGTTTCAGTTTCAACCACCATACCATATTTGTATAACCAATCTACTGTTTAATAGATTTTATTTCTCTGATATTTGTTTCCTTGAAAAGTTGATTATTTTGATATATTTCTGACAGGTTTGGGAATTTAATTTTATTAAATTAAAATGTCGTCTCCAAGCAAGAGGAGAGAGATGGATGTCATGAAGTTGTAAGTTGTTGGTTACTGTTTATCTCCAACCTTTGTAATCTGGGTCTTATATTTCTTAAGACTGGATTCCTCCTCCCTTTTGTTATACCAAAGGGGTATCTGTAGTCTTGTTGGTACAAGTACTTTAAATCATGTTGCTGCCTTCCTCTCTGGTACAATATAAAGCTATGTTTAATGTCTTTTTCAATGTTTTTCAGGATGATGAGTGACTATAATGTGGAGACAATAAACGATGGGCTAAATGAATTCAATGTGGAATTCCATGGTCCAAAAGAAAGTACTGTCTTGCACTCATCCTTATACTTTTTCATCATATAGAGTTCCCTATATGATTTTATGTGCGTGAATGGAGGCACATTATAATCGAATGTGGCATAAGCTCAACTTTGGAAAGTTTTTCATCTTTATTTGTCTTTTGGTAGACTTTATTAGAGGTTGCTCTTAGATTAATGCGTTTTGGAAACTAATATTTCTTTTTCTCCACTAGTCTTTTATTGGCTGAGGCTCTAATAGCTTTCATTTAGACATTGTTTAAAACGCATTTTGGTATAATATACTCTGTCTGATGCGGTGGTTGCAGGCCTTTATGAAGGTGGGGTTTGGAAAATCCGCGTTGAGCTTCCCGATGCGTATCCATATAAATCTCCTTCTATTGGCTTCATTAACAAGATTTTCCACCCTAATGTTGATGAGCTGTGAGTATTCTGCACTTTGAAAAGCAAAATCACCTCTCATTACATCCGATTAAGATGATCTTCTCTAGGATCTTTTAAGTTCTAATTGTTACTAGTACCCGGCACATTGGGTCAAATAAAGGCAGAAGCATTAAGTTTACTTAGAATGGTGTCATACTGCTGCTAATTATCAAATGCTTTGAATAAGTTTGTGGAATTGACAACATACTTTATTTTTCATTTCTCTAGTAAGCAGCTGGAACTTGAGTAATTGGTTATTGGTTTTTAATTTTTTATGACCTGACTGATTTGTTTTTCCCGAGTAATTGCAGATCTGGTTCTGTCTGCTTAGATGTAATTAACCAATCATGGAGTCCAATGTTCGGTAATTATCAGCCCAATTTAGTAATGAGTCTCATTTTGCAATACACTGCTTAAACACGTTGGCTTTGTATATCTGGACTCTCTTGTATGAGTCAGTGATGTTTCACTCTTCTTTTGTGTTTTTGTTTTCATATTTGTTCTTTTCTTTTCTCATCTGGATTTTCTTGGATTTCTCACATATATAGCCATGGTTCTTCTTGATGCAGACCTTTTAAATGTTTTTGAAGTTTTCCTTCCACAACTGTTGCTCTATCCAAATCCTTCAGATCCGCTTAATGGTGATGCAGCGTCATTGATGATGAAGGACCGAAAACTCTACGATCAGAAGGTGAAAGGTAAAACTTACTCTAGAATTAATCTACGTTTTTTCAATAAATATGCTTAAATTATTGGAAACAATGCCTAAAATTTTAGAACTTTATCTATATTTCCACTGATTTGTGGACACAGAGTACTGCGAGCGATATGCAAAGAAGGAGCATATTACCAATTCAACTCCAGATGAGGAGAGTGGTGATGAAAACATTAGTGATGAGGAAAGTGATTCAAGCGACGATGATATTGCCGGACATGCAGACCCATAGAGTGAACTGATGGTGCAGGGGGGGGACTTTATCTATGATTAAAAACCACCAGTTATAGCAGCAGAAAATCCCCCATTACATGTTTACCATTTAAACTATGTTACTATCGATATTTGTATGACTAGATTCCTTTTGCTTGTAAAAATATCATGAATTATGTCAAATAATTTACTTCTGATGTTGGTCAATGGTCACTGAATTTGTTTAATGTTATGAAGAATCACATTGAAACACAAGACGCATCTATTTTATGTGCTCTTTCAAATTTGACCCTTCCATTGGTTATTTGTCTTGCTCAAGAAAGACTCACAAAAACTTATTAAGTGAAATGTGCTGATCTATATTCTTCTTTTTCTGGTCGAAAGGAAAGAACTAACAAGATATAGAGGCATTTTATAAAGGAAAGATCTATTTTTGGGACAAGTGAAGAGTTCTTCTGGGTCATTTTATAGAGGCAGCAGGATTTTTTTATTTTTTTTGGTTACATTGGGAGGAAAGAGACCCCTTGGGGTTTCGAACCTGGGTTGTCAAGCAGGGGGAAGGCGGAGGCCACCACTGTGGTACCTGCACTCGACAGAGGCAGCAGGATTTTGGAAGAGACCACATCCAGCTAACAAGATATATATAAACAACAGCAATAAAGTAACAGTACCACCAATGAAAATCAAATGAAATCAATTTAGAATATAATCATATACTTATTTTAAACACATCAAAGTCTACAACTTGACTGGACCAACGAAGCTTAGTGATTATGTGTTTGTCCAACGTGCATCACATTAAGGGAGAGAGTGATACCTTTTTGTGCCATATGCCATGCACATCCATGGCTTGGTTGACTTTGCCTCAACTTAAACGAGTGAGTCACAATGTATAACCTATTTTAAGAAATTATCAACCCACATTTTTTTTGGACGAATAGGATTTTCACATAAACCTATGTGAAAGTGTAATTCAGAAATTAGGGAACTAATAGGATTCAAAGCCAGAATTTTTTAATTTTTTTTATGAGGTTGATATTCTAAACTATTCTAATGTACGGGAAGAGGGTTCAAACTCGGGTGCAATGGGGCGGACACACTGCCTTGGCCAACTAGCCTAACCCACTAATAGGATTCAAAGCCAGATTAAAATATTTGATTTTGAGCTCATTTTATGCTACCTCTTTTGGTTACTTGTGATGGCCATTGGTAAAAGAACTCCATTTTACTGAACCAAAAGTTACCTTTCTTGCTGCAAAAACGCCTACTCTGTAGTCTATATGGGTAATGTGTTGAGCTGTAACAAGGCATTGCAGGGTAAAAGGCTTATCTGGGTTTTATTCTTTGATGTCTGAGAAGGCAAAGTTGAATCTTGACCACCCTTGGAGGGTCTCTACAAGTCACTATATCACACATTGTTAATTCTAGAAAGGCTATTGAGAAGGACATGCCATCAAAAATTTGACTGCGTAAACTGCCGGCACATATTTTTTTAGAATTGTTACAGGCTATAGTGCGGTGTGAGGCTCATTCTGCAAGCTCCTTATGGTACATAACCTTAACCATAAAGAATATTTCAAACTCTCTGTCAGTATCAGCCAATTGGCACCAAGTGATATTCCAGCAACAAACTTCAACATTGCTACTTTCTTCTTGTTTTGCAACTTCCATCAATGAAGCCCACTTCATAAAGAGGAAACCAAAACCACAGAGCCATTTTCCACAAAAAACTCTACTTGTACATAAAAATAAGAAAAAATGAATCGTTTTCCCATTTGGGTACTGGCCATTTTGATCTTTCTCATCTTTCCAATGGCTAATTCAGAAGATCAAGACTTGAAGCAACTCAAGCAAGTGCTGGTGCAATTCATGGACAAACTTTCACCAGGAAATTCAGTGAGAGATGTCAAATGGGGTTGGAACATGAGTTCAGACCCTTGCAGAGACCAATGGGAGGGTGTGACATGTGATAAACAGAATTATGTGAAGAAAATAGTTCTTGAAATGTCCAATTTAACTGGAGTTCTTGATGCAAATTCTCTCTGCATGGTACAGTCTTTGGGTGTTGTGAGTCTGAAGAACAACAAAATCTCTGGTCTGCTCTCAGAAGAAATTGGAAATTGCAGAGATTTGACCCACTTTTATATAAGTGGAAATCAGTTCTCTGGTGACCTTCCTGACTCTCTCTCACAGTTGAATAATTTGAAAAGGATTGATATATCCAACAATAACTTCTATGGTGAGCTTCCTGATCTGCCAAAGATTTCAGGCTTGATATCTTTCCTTGCTCAAAACAATCAACTTGATGGGCAAATACCAGATTTTGATTTCTCCAATCTGAAGGTGTTCAATGTCTCCAACAACAACTTCAGTGGTCCAATTCCTGATGTCAAAGGCCAACTCACAAAAGACAGCTTTTCAGGTAATCCTAAGCTATGTGGAAAGCCACTACCAAATACCTGCCCACCTGTCCCAACATCTATAATGCCAAAGAAGAAATCAAACAAATCCTCATCTCAAAAGCTTCTCATCTTCTCAGGCTACATGATACTTAGCCTGGTTTTTGTGTGCTTCTTTGTGTATAAATTTATCAGCAAAAAGAGGACCAGAGAATATGAGGAAAAGGGTGGAAATGAAAAGATTGCAACACCTGATACTGCTAGCACTGTGCCTAACACTATTACTTCTAGTGAGTTCAAGGCTGATGGTGTGCCTAAGACAGCAGAGTACTCATTGACCTCTGTTGAAACTGGAATGGTTCCACCGCTTGTAGTTCTCACAAGTCCATTGCTGATGGGGTTAGGTTTTGAGGAGTTGCTCCGAGCTCCAGCTGAATTGCTTGCAAGAGGAAAGAATGGAAGCCTCTACAAAGTCATGCTTGATGATGGGGTTAACTTGGTTGTGAAGAGGATCAGGAATTGTGGGATCTCGAGCGAAGATTTCAAGACGAGGATGAAAAAGATCGATCAAGCTAAGTGTCGAAATGTCTTGCCAGCAGTTGCATTCTATTGTTCCAGACAAGAGAAGCTCTTGGTTTATGAATATCAACCGAATGGCAATCTCTTTAACCTTCTTCATGGTAAGCTTGAATCTTGATTATATTAATTTTTGCTACAAATATATATATTTTAGAATTTGAGTATATCTAATCTACCAATGAGATACAGAAATGATTAACTGAAACACAGAGGATTTTCACAGTAAAAAGAAAGTCAATGCAACATAAAATTACTAAAGCTCAAAAAGAAAGGATGAAACTTAGAATTTATTTAGACTCCCAAACTCAATGTTCAGATGATTTGAAGGCCTAGCTAAGTAGGTTTGTAGTACAGAACATACAACAAAAAACTACATATCGAATCCATGGTTGGATTAGTAGCAAGTCAGCAACAATATTTTGTTCTTTTTTTTTTCCTCAAACCTTGATGCATTATGGTATGACAGAAAAAGGTAGTGGATATAAGTTTGTTGACATGGAAGTTCCTAAAGTAGCATTACTGATTATTTGTATGCATCATTTTTCGGGTCACAGGATCTTCAAATGGCCAAATATTTGACTGGGGAAGCAGACTAAATGTTGCAGACATCATTGCCGAGTCACTGGCGTTCATGCACCGGGAGCTACGTGAAGATGGCATTGCCCATGGCAACCTCAAGTCCATGAACATTTTGTTCAACATGACCATGGAGCCCTGCATCAGTGAATATGGGGTAATGGGGACTGAAAATCAAGACCAGTCATTCCTTTCTCCAAACAATGGAATTGAAAGTTCTAATGCAGGCCATGCATATAGCACATTCAAGGATGATGTTTATGGTTTTGGTGTGATTCTTCTTGAGCTTTTGACTGGGAAGCTGGTCCAGCAAAATGGGTTTGATTTGCCGAGGTGGGTGCACTCGGTGGTTAAAGAGGAGTGGACTCTTGAAGTTTTTGACAAGGCCTTGATCCAAGAAGGTGCAAGTGAAGAAAGGATGGTGAACTTGTTGCGGGTAGCATTGCAGTGCATAAATCCCTCAGCAAATGATAGGCCAAGTATGAGTCGAGTTTCGATGAGGCTAAAGTCTATAAAAGAGGAGGAAGAGAGATCTATATCTTCTGACCCATGAAAAGAAGAAAGAAAAAAACACTTCATTATTAAGTTGCATCTCTTGTTGGAGGAATTTGATTCAAAATCCTATCTTTCTATGCAGAAAAATTCTTTGCTTCAGCATTAATGGTATATGGTTGTATTTTGTTTTTGGGTTAACCTATGTCCTAAAATGTTCAATTTTGCTTTAAGGAGCTGTATATCCTGAGACTGCTATGTTCATGTCATGCGGTATGAGTGATCTTACATGTAAATTATGATTGGAAAGCCTCATTCGTGACAATGAACACGTCACACATGGTTAAGGAACAAGTTGATGCCATATATGACCATGTAATTCTTCATCAAATTTTCAGAGACTGCTGCTATCCTCTTCCTAAGTGTCACTGCAGAAGGTAAAACAAGAAGCAATATTTGACAAATGACAATTAAGAAAAGACATGTTATTTTAAATTAAATTCTCACTTTCTCAACAAGAACATGGCCTTGTTGGTTTAGTCATACTCACAGCAATTGCTTTCAAAATAAAACAAAATGGACTGATTCGATATCCACAGGGAGTCCAAAAACGTCTGAAAATGTGTCGTATAATTATGCAATTGGGCCACTCCTATAGTCGTGGATGACCAAAAACAGTGAACATAAAGAAATTAAAAAGAATAAAACTTGTCACAGAGGATGAATGATTTTGACATGGATGAAAGGTTGGCCATGGTTTTGAACATTATCATCATAATGCACAACAAAACTCTCTGACTGGTTTGCTGGTTAGTTATCAACTAACATCAGACAGAATTGTCAAACCATTAGAGAAATACCCAAAAACATGATTAGTTATAATCACCTGTGTTTAGTGGGTGCAATTATGGATACGATTTGGTGCTATACGTGCAAGGAAAAGCAAATGTGACCCTACCATCTGCTTTTGTCCACCCCTTTGAGATTTCTTTTTCTGTCATCAGATCCAAAGCTTGTTTGGTTTGGTCACTCACCCAAAATACAGGGTAGGTTGGGAGATCTGCACTGGATACATAACTTTCTACCAATTCTGCCACTTACCCACTTGACCATTAATCTGGAAAATTGCCAGGATTTATGGGAAATTGCCTGATTAGCAGGGAGTGAGCATAGGATATATCATCATTGAAAGATGATCATTTTGTTTACTTGTTTTGATGAAAAATAAGTCACACTGACCACTTTGGACAATCAAAACTGGGTGGTGGCCCTCCTCTAGCTTTTCAATTTTTAATTAGATTTGTGACATACGTCTAATCCCACATAACTTAGTTTTTTAGGCTTGTCTGGTTTGGTACGCTACATTTATAGTTGATGACAAAAGCTGTGATTGTGATCCCTCATCACCTCACCAATGTGTGCCTTCTGCAAACTGGTTGCTCTGGGCCCATTAAAAAATAGTTCAAATTGGAGGGTCTTTTTGTTATTGCAATGGGCTCAATAGAACTCCCCTTGGCCTTCTCTCACTCTCCAGTCTCCACAGTTCGTAGTTGTTTCTTCCAGTCTATAAGCTACCTTTGCCCTTCTGTATATATCAAAACACAAACAGAAATAAAAATCTTTTCTTCTGCTACTTCTTCTGTGGCGCAAAAAGAATTCAAACCGGACGGGCTCCTCCAATTCTAGCTATGGTTCCATTCGCACCCTCCATATCTAAAGGTAGTTCCTTTGCAATTTTACCAGCTACATGATTCTTCAAGAACCCATTTTTAATATCTCAATTTTCCACAAGGAAAATCTTTTTGTTCACATATATGAGTCTTAATCTGATTAGGTTTCTCACCTTAGCATTACATTCTTAATTCTGCATTTTAGCTTGCTCACCCTTTCTTCTGTTGTATTCTCAAAGCAAGTTTAGAGTGTCTTCTAAAATTGTGCACTTTGTTGGGGAATTCAGTGTCTAAATCTGAGAAAACCTGGTAAAAATAGTTGCTTTTGAGCAATACCAATCTCCTAAAATGTCTAGAATTCTCTGTGGGTTGAACCAGAAAGATGGTAATTTGGTATACCCACCACCTTCCTCATTTTCAGTTCCTTCTGTTAGCGTTAACAATGGACAGGAATTATCCCCTTCTTCATCATCATCATCATCATCATCATCTCTTGGAAATATCAGTCCAGTACTTCTTTTGGTTATAGTAATTCTAGCTGTTATCTTTTTCATCTCTGGCCTTGTTCATTTGCTTGTAAGATTTCTCATAAAGAGGTCATCTTCCTCAATCTTTCAATCCAATAGATACCCAGAAACCTCTGGGTCTCGTGCTATTCAAAGGCAGCTTCAACAGCTCTTTCGGTTACATGACGCGGGCCTAGATCAAGCTGCCATAGATTCTCTACCTGTGTTCTACTGCAAAGACATTATTGGTTCAAAAGAGCCATTTGATTGTGCTGTTTGTCTGTGTGAATTTTCTGACCAGGACAAGCTGAGATTGCTCCCTAACTGTGGTCATGCTTTTCACATTGATTGTATTGACACATGGCTCCTCTCAAATTCAACATGCCCCCTTTGTAGAGGAACCCTTCTGAGCTCTGGGTTTTTCTTGGAAAATCCAGTGTTCAATTTTGATGATGCTAGGGAAATGTCAAATAGGTTCGTTAGTGAGGGAGAGAACATGTGTTCAAGTGGTCAGAAACATTTAACCATGGAGGAAGCTGCTGGTGAAAAGAGGGTCTTTTCTGTAAGACTTGGAAAGTTCAGAAGCTTAAATGAAGGAGTAGAAAGTGGAGGGAGAGTGGGAGAAACCAGTAGCTGTAATTTGGATGCAAGGAGATGTTACTCAATGGGTACATATCAATATGTGGTTGGTGACTCAAATCTGCAAGTGGCCTTGTCCCATGATTGTGGTGGAGATAGTGATGCCAAGCTTGTCAAAGAGGGAGTTCATAATGGGAACTTCTCAGTTAATGGGAATCTGGAGGGGAAGAAAATCAGTGGCCGGCATAAGGGTGAGAGCTTCTCTGTTTCAAAGATCTGGCTTTGGTCCTCGAAAAACCGATTCCCAGGTTCTTCGAATGCTCATACTGGTGTACCTCCTTTTAGATTAAGTTCTCCAATCAGATGAAACATGAGCTGTATAATTAGTGTATGTTATGTATGACTGAAAATTAAGCTTAGAAGTTATGCCTTTTACTTACTTTCTTTTATAATTAGTGTATGTTGTGTATGTTAGCAAGAGCTATGTCCAGCAATGTCCAGACCAGATAAAGAAAATGGGAATTATGATCTAAAAACTAAACCCACATAAGCGTTTCTTTTTTAAAGCAAGAGCCGTTTACTTTGGGTTCTTCATAAGCAAGAAACATGCAGAAAAGAGCATAATCAAAGTATCAAACACAACAAGGAAGGGACAAATGATCAGAGCCTTTTACTACTTTCCTTCATCATGCAGCAATCTCATCGTGATGAACAAAGCACTTTATCAAAAGATCACGATAAGCAAACTAGCTTTTTGGGAAACAATAATGGGCTCACCACATATGGTTCAGATTTGGGTTTGGGCTAAAGGTGCTTGCTTTTAGTTTGTTTGGGCCTCTCATAGCACCAAAACAAAAGATGACCTTGGACTTGGAAACCCTGTTGGTTTTTAGGTTCCTCGGCATAAACGGGTCGTCGTTTTCTCTTCTTCCTCTCCCTTCCTCTTAACTCCTTTCCTCTTCCTTTTTTACTCTACTTTCTCTATCACAGACGCTGTCTCAGTCTCGCAGTCTCTCTCTCTCTGAAAATGGCGGTGGCAGAGAGACCGACTGTCCGAGTCTCGAACATTCCCCAAACAGTGACAGCCAAAGAGCTCCTAAGCTTCCTCGAGTCAAAACTCGAATCTGACTCGGTCTTCGCCGTCGAAATCATCAGCGATCACAAGAACTGGAAGTCACGAGGCTTCGGTCGCGTCCAGTTCACGACCCTTGAGGCCAAATCAGAAGCATACTCTCTTTCCCTTCAGAACGGCCTCGTCTTCAAGTCCGAAAGCCTCAGACTTTCCGAGACGTACGACGACATCATCCAACGGCCGGTGGACCCAAAACGCCGACTGAACGGCACCGTTTTGCATGCGGGTTTTATGGTAAAGGACGACTGCATGAGCATGTTGGAGTCTTGGCAGGGCGTGAGAGCTTGGGTCATGCCCGAGAGGAAGCGGGTCGAGTTCTGGGTCTGGCAGAGAGACGAGTGTTATAAACTGGAGATTGCATTTGAGAATATTATGGAGTCATTCGGGTGCGGTTTGGGTGGAGAGAAAGTGAATGCCCTTCTCTTGAAGGTAACTGTTTCTTCCTCTCTCTCTGTCTCTCTCTTCTGGGTTTGTAGAATTCTTAAGGAATGTGAATGTGATTCCTGCTGTTCGTTTCTTTTGGGTTTTTTTGTTTACAATGAGAGAGTTGAAGTCTTTAGTTATTATTTTATTTTTTTTGCAAGATTGCTGCTTTTGTTTGGTTTGTTTAAGAGTTACTGGTATTAGTGTGATTCGGATAATATGTTAACAAAAAGCATTTTGAATTTCTCAGCTCAAGTTTGGTCCGAGGATCTTTCGTAAAATTTCTGGACCTAATGTAGCTGCCAGATTTAGCACTGATCGGTATCACGTATGCAAGGATGATTTTGATTTCCTCTGGGTACGAACTACCGATTTTTCGGATATGAAATCTATCGGGTATTCAACTTCATTCTGTTGGGAGATTGAGGAGGAGTTTTCTGTCTCAGATGTATTTGAATGCTTCCCATACTATAAAGATAATGATGTGGTGGATCTCATTTTAGATAATGGTGAAAAATACTGTTCGCCATCTGAGACAGTTCCACTTGTGAAGTGCAGATCAGATTCAAAGTTACCATATGAGATCCTTTTCCAGCTCAATGCACTTGTTCATTCCCAAAAGATTAGTCTTGCAGCAGCAGACTCTGATCTGATTGAGTTCCTTAGTGGTTTAAGCGTCGACACTACTAATGTGCTTCTTGAGAAGCTGCACAAGCGCAAGACCACTTGTTCTGACCCTCTATCATTCTTAAAGATGCAATTACATGTCTTAGAAAGAAACCATAAGAGTCGTCCCTCACCCTATAAAAGATTAATGGAACATAATGTAATGAGTTGTCATAGAGTCTTAATTACCCCATCAAAGATTTGTTGCTTAGGTCCTGAGCTTGAAAAATCAAACTATGTTGTAAAGAATTTTGCAGCCTATGCTTCGGATTTTATGAGAGTAACATTTGTTGATGAAGATTGGAGTAAGCTTCCTGCAAATGCTATATCCACAAGTATTCAGCAAGGTATTTTTGCAAAACCCCATAGAACTGGAATATATCATCGGATGTTGTCTATTCTTCGAGATGGGATTGTTATAGGAGAAAAAAGATTTGAGTTTCTGGCTTTCTCGGCTAGTCAACTTCGATCAAGTTCTGTTTGGATGTTTTCTTCTAATGACAATGTAAAAGCAGAAGATATTAGAGAATGGATGGGCTGCTTCAGCAAGATCCGCAGTATATCTAAATGTGCAGCTAGGATGGGTCAACTGTTCAGTTCTTCTACACAAACTCTTGTTGTTCCTGCACAAGATGTAGAGATTATTCCTGATGTTGAGACTTCTTCGGATGGTGTAACTTACTGCTTCTCAGATGGTATTGGAAAGATTTCTCTATCTTTTGCCAGGAAAGTTGCTCAGAAGTGTGGTTTGGATCAAACTCCTTCAGCATTTCAGATTCGATATGGTGGATATAAAGGGGTGATAGCTGTTGACTGTAGGTCCTTTCGGAAGCTATCTTTGCGTAGCAGTATGCTCAAATTTGAATCAAAAAATAGAATGCTTAATGTCACCAAATGGAGTGATGCCATGCCCTGCTATCTGAATCGAGAGATTATTTCCCTCTTGTCTACCTTAGGGGTAAAGGATGAAACATTTGAGGCATTGCAAGAGGAACAATTGCGTCTTCTAGGGAAAATGCGGACAGAAAGAGGTGCGGCATTGAATGTCTTAGAGAGATTGAATGGGGCTGATTCCAAAAATACTCTTGTAAAGATGTTACTTCATGGTTATGAGCCAAATGTGGAACCTTACCTCTCAATGATGCTTCAAGCATATTATGAGAACCACTTGTCTGATTTAAAAAGTAGATGCCGAATATTTGTCCCAAAAGGCCGGGTCCTGGTTGGGTGCTTGGATGAAACTGGAAATCTAAATTATGGTCAAGTTTATGTTCGAATAACCATGACAAAAGCAGAGCAAGAAATGGGGGATCAGAGTTTCTTCCAGAAGGTGGATGAGACAACATGTATAGTAACAGGGAAGGTGGTTGTCACAAAAAATCCTTGTCTTCACCCAGGAGACGTCAGGGTACTTGACGCTGTCTATGATGTGGTACTCGAGGAGAAGAATATGGTGGATTGCCTTATATTTCCCCAAAAAGGAGAAAGGTATACATAACACTGTTAATGCATTTGTTTCCTCTTGAAGATTATTGATTATTGTTTCACTAATTATGGTATGCTTGTGACCTAATTTTTGCTTTTGTTTTCCTTTCCATGTATAATTCACTCTTTCTAATTTTATCCAATGTATTAAATATCATGTGGACAAGAGGTGGAAAACACGAAAATATCGACATCGATGATATTCTGAGAGAAATTATGGAAACTATTAAGGAACGCACAAATTTTTTGAAATGTTTATTCAATCGATTATCTATTATATTTGACTAAAAACTCGGTTTGAACTTATGTGTATAATTGGGTTATATGGTTTAGGAGGAATGCAGTATGCCTGGACAAACATTATTGTCTGAAAACGATTAAGTAGTCATTGAAATCTAACTGAATATAACAGTTTGGAATACCTGTATAACTTAGTACCACATAGAGTTCTTCAAATGCTTAATCATACATGTATCACAACTCATGCATTAAAAAGTGTATAACATTACTTAATGCAATCAATTCCTGGCCAATCAAATAATCATTCATAGTTTTTATGATACAAATTGCTTATTTACGAACTAGTAATATTTATATGCTAAGTAATTACAACAATATCAAAAAATAAGTAACACTGGAGAAGATTAAGCATTTTAGCAGTAATTTATTTATAGCACATGCATATAACTGTTAGCTGCAAGTTTTCTTTTTAGTTAATAAGTATAATAAATAGCTTTGCAAACAAAAGACAGGTTAGTCAGAGTGGCCGTCGCCTCCTTGGATGGCCTGGGGTTCAAACCCCCAGCCCCTCAAGTAAGCCCATTTTATGTGCGTCTGCTGGTGCACACAGCAGGCATGCACAATGTTGCTGCAATGCATGCAGCAGGTTATTACTCGAAAAACCAAAATTATCATATTAACGCTAATGTATCATCTCTGGTAGATAAAGAAAGTATCAGCAAAATATCGAGATACTTTCAATATTTTAGACATAAGTTTTATCCAGATATGTTAAGGTATTAAAATTTAAGGTGGCCGAATAGTTGTAAATATCTTTTATTAAACATTTGTGCACATTTTCAGATATTTCATTTTATATGGAAATATTAGAACACAATTATCTTCATTCCATTCATCAGTCTTCCTCATCATTATTAGGTGAAACGCAGCATCTGATTCTGAGAAACGGTTAGCTTATTTGATTTTATATTTTTTTTATGTGTAAGTGGAAGTGAAGTTTCTGGGTAAGCTGGTCTTTGGGTAATGCATCAGGAGAACTGGGCTTTAGGATAAAATGACATATATGTGTTTGATCTGGTTCTTTCTGGCAGATTCGTCTTACATTTATACTTTCATACCTTCATTCAATCTGTTTAACTTCCTAAGATTGTGTGATTCCTCAGCTCAAATCAATTGAACTGGATGTTGTTAAAGCAATATATTGTATGGCAACAATTAAAATGGTCATAGTGTTTAATTATATAGTAAATGTGGTTTGGAAACTTTTCGCAGGCCTCATCCAAATGAATGCTCTGGGGGTGATCTTGATGGGGACTTGTTTTTCATAAGTTGGGATAAAGATCTAGTCCCTTCTTACACTGTACCTCCCATGGACTACTCTGCACGGAGACCTCGTATAATGGATCACACTGTGACCTTAGAGGTAAATTCCAAAATTGAGTAAACAGTCTCCTTATGGCATTGAATATGAATTTCAAAATACATTGCCAATCTAATTGTCGTTTCTGCCTAACCATTCTTGAATATGCAGGAAATTCAAAAGTTTTTTGTTGATTACATGATAAATGATAATTTGGGTGCCATCTCTACTGCACATCTAGTTCACGCTGACCGTGAACCAGACAAAGCTTTGAATCCAAAATGCGTGCAGTTGGCAGACCTGCACTCCATGGCCGTCGACTTTGCAAAAACTGGTGCACCGGCCGAAATGTCCCGGACCTTAAAACCTAAAGAATTTCCAGATTTCATGGAACGGGTGGACAAACCCATGTACATCTCAAATGGGGCACTAGGAAAACTCTACCGTGCAGTCGTTGGCTCAGTGTTGCAAGAAAAAACAAACTTGGTTTGGTCAGAGCAGATTGCTGAAGCAGCTTACGATCAAGACCTTGAAGTGGATGGCCTCGAGTCGGTTCTTGAAGTTGCAAAAGGTCATAGAGACATGTACATAGAGAAGATGAGGACGATAATGAACTATTATGGGGCAGTGACCGAGGATGAAATACTGACAGGTAATCTACGAAATCGTGCAGCATATCTGCAACGCGATAACAGGAGATATGGAGATATGAAGGATCGGATATCGCTGTCACTCAAGAACCTACAAAAAGAAGCAAAAGGATTGTTTGAAAGCAGCTGCCCAGTTGGTGAGCATCAGAGAATGGCCTCAGCATGGTATCATGTCACTTATCATCCATCATATTTCCAACAAGACATGAACTGCTTGAGCTTTCCATGGATTGTAGGTGATATTTTACTCAACATAAAAGCTGTGAATAATCCAAGAAAGGACATATAGACGCATAGAGCAGAGCACCATGTAAAACAGGTTTTTCTGTGGTTATAGGTGCGCGCCATGTAGCGGCTTATGTTGTATGTGTATGTGTTTATACCATTTTAGTCTAGTTTCTCTCATCATTATTAGTAATAGTAGCCTAGTAGGTCTCACTACAAGGGTCCCAAAATTATTAAATAATTTCACTGCAATCTAGTTTACAATTAGTTTTAATTGTTTAAGAAAACGACATTACAACTACATCCCAGACAAAAGTTGTCTTGTAATAAAATTGCAAGCAAATAATAAATAAATAAATTTATTAATCACTAGGCCATGCTAAAGAAACCTTACACGCATGCTTATCTTCATCCTCATTCAATCATCATATCATTGGTCCATTATCTTCATAGTATTTGACAATTTGTACACCCACCGCCATCAAAAACAAAATTAAAACAATATAAAAAAATATCTAAATTACTACAACGACATTATCGAAAACCAAACAAAAATAAATAAATAAATAAGGGTAAACTGACGGCGCCATGTCATACGGTCAACCTTCCACCAGCCAGCTCATTGAGTGGCCATTCCAACAATCAAATGCTTACAACACCTCCGGGCGCAAGATAGCCACCCCGGCGTATTCTCACTCACCCGTACACCGCCACGTCTTTACTCGATTCTGGTAACCCGGACCTGACCGGAGGATGCGAGGCAAACCGGGTCGAGAAATCGCGAAATCCGCCGACTTCGTCGTCTTCGTCCTCCTTGCCTTCGTCGAAGTTCAGAGCATAACTCAAGGGGTCGTATTGGAATTTCCCGTGGTGCCGCCCAGCACCGGAGCTGCCGCCGCTTCCGCTTCTGTTCCGGTTGAATCGGCGAATGAAAGTCTTCCACTTTGGGCCTGCGACGATTTCGGACCACTCTCGAAGCTTGTAGAAGGCTTGGAGGCCTCGGGACCACCAGCGGTCGTTGTTTTGGTTCGCTCGCATCCGCTCCCACCAGGCCGACGACGCCGGGATACAGAAGCAGCAGCGCGAACTGGTTCTTCCGTGGCCTATTGACTCCAAGTCAACGCCTTCCATGGCCATATGGACTTGTACAGACCACAAGAGAGAGAGAGAGAGAGAGAGAGAGAGAGAGAGAGAGAGAGGGATTGAGAGATTGAGGAGCTTAGGAAAACCCCCAATTGGGCATTTGCGTCTCTCTCTGTAAAACGGTGTGCGTGTGTGTTTTATACAAAGATGGTCAGAGAAGAAATGGAAGTTTGTAACGGAAACATATCAAGTGACCGGCAATTGGCGGTGACCACTCTGACTATCTGTATCAAGAACGACTTGTCGTTTTTAAGTGGTTCCGGTTTTGCCTTATAATTGAGAAAATGGAAAGAAAAAAAAATTCCCAAAATTAAAGGCAGCGTTTGGGAATTAGGCCGTTGTAACTTGTAGGTGACGTTTGGTTTGGTGTGTGGGGGGACCCAGTGGGACCCAATGCTTAGGTGGGATCGATCAGAAACTTAATGGATGGTGATTAAGGAATCAACGCCAGCGCCGATCTCGCCTAATCACTCCACCATAATCTACATTATTGTTCCCCTCTTTTATCTCTTTTTTTATTTTTATTTTTTAGTTTTTTAATTGGAGTTGAACTTCTTTGAGAAGTTTTACATTGGCACCTACCACATTGATTGAGATTTATATTGTTCTACAAGGAGGAGAATATTTTCCTCGTATTAGGACCAATGCAATCACATTGACCCCACACCCCAAAACTGAAAATGACATTAGTCAAGCTTCCTAACCTAATATTGTAAGGCTCAAAGGCATCAGTAGAAAGAACAGAGTTTGAAGAAGAATTGCTACTGCATGGCCGAGGCCGAGGCCATGATATGTTCATGATATGGCCAGACTCCTCACCAGTCAACATTGGCCAAGTAAAGCTCAAACCAAGTTGATCTTAGCTTATCTGTGTCCAATATATTCAGGTCCCAGATAGTGGATCAAGTAATTCAAGGTCAGAACAAGTGCATTTCCATTGCAAGTTAGCATTTTCTGCTTTCTAACAACCCATTTTTTCTCAAGTTCAGAAATTGTAAAATGCAGATTCAATTATGCCAAAGAAAATGGCAACACATAACAAAGAAGAATATAACATCCGGGAGTATTAAAGAATCAGTACGGTTTCCATTTCCCGCATCTTCTCTAGATATAAAACATCAACATTTCAAACGGAATGAAGGAGAGGTAGGTAATCAATCCCAGTAAACAAATGTTAAACAAAGCTGACTACCTGTGTTGCCAAGCATTATATATGATCATAGCATATGGTAAAGAGGAAACAAATAGCACAATTTTAACAGTAACATAATATTGTTAAGGGACAAGGGCACCTAAAACACACATACTGTTAAACCATTTTAACAAACAGCAGAACAAAGCACATACTGTTACTGCTACTAAACTCAATTCCACAACTAGCAGCTTAATACTATTAAGTCTAATATCTTCTGACAGCTGATATTGAGCAAGCTGCGCTTACATTGCAAGAGCTCCGCCAACTTGACC